TTAGGTTCACAGAAAATCTAATCGTTCCATAACTAATTCATAATGATCATACTTAATTCTTTTTATTATTCATATAAATAAAAGGCTGTATAAAATCTCAAGTTGGTACTGGTTTTTAGTTACGGTGCTACGATGAGGCTTGTCCACCATTTGTCATTCGCTCATTCGGCTTCTAACTTCTGTTTTGAGTGAACTAATAACTTTGCTTTGCCCACTGCGAGTCGCTTTAGTTATCATTAAAATTTTGTTACGTTATGTTTGTTTTTCGTTACCTACTTTTTCTTAATTGTGATCATGATGATGATGATGAGTTGATGCGCAGTTGAGCATATCACAAGATGGAGATACATTTCTATCTCCTAAGAAAAAAAAGGCCACGTGTAGCTCTAAGTGCCACCGAGAAACTTTGGGTCAAAAACGTTTACAAATATGTGTTTGAAGTGAAATCTACAGATTCAAATATTAAAGTTCCATAAACAAGTGAATGCATCAACAAGGTGGCTGAAGTCTTGGGAATATCCGTCCGCACTGTTTATTTTGTTTTAAAGGAGCACAAGAAGAACGACTGTAAATCACCAAAACCTCCCGAAAAACCTGGCCCAAAACTTACATTTAAAGAAAAACTTGATGATTTCACATTCACCGCTATTAGACGAATTGTACATCAGTTCTTTCATAGAAATGAAGTACCCACCATCGCAAAGGTTAGTTTATCTGTCATCGCTAATCTTTTTATTATACGTTAGGTATAATATGTTTTCTCCCATCCCATGTGGAATTTTAACCAAATATAGTGAAGGCCACTCTCAAAGATAACTGAGAAATATGCCGTGGACGAGATTGCTGCATAAAAAGGTATCAGGCTTTTAAGACTGCCCCCTTATCACTGTGAATTGAACCCCATCGAGTTGGTTTAGGCTCAGGTAAAGGGGCACGTCGCAAACATTAATAAAACATATAAAATGCAAGAAGTGAAAACTTTATTCCAAGAAGGAATCAACAACCGTGACACCGGTTAAGTGGAGTGACTGTGTGTCTAACACTATAAAAGAGGAAGACAAAATGTGCCACCTCGATCATATTATTGATGAAATGACAGACAGATTTGTCATTAGTGTGACCGAAAGCGACAGCGATAGTGATTCCGAAAATATTTGATTAATAAATAACATTGTTATGAGTTTTTGTTTAATTTTGGATGTACGTCCCGATACTTCCAATGAAAAAGATCAATCCTTTACTATAGTAATAATAATAGAATAAAAAATCATTACAACTTAATATTAAATCTCTTAAACAAAACCAAACTGATCATTCATTTATTGAATGATTCACTTACTCACTTAGCTACATCCCTATTTATTTTTCTTCAAAAAGCGGTAACCCACGAAACGTCATTTTACTGCAGCTAATAAAAAGTTCTACTTTAGAATACTCATTCTCGGTACATAGATGCATTTTTCATTATCTAAAATTATATTTTAGTCGGTAAGCATGCAGTTTTCTCTCAACAACCAGGATTTAATAAAAAGCTTTTAAATTAATTTATGCTAATAGGTATGTATTTGATAGAAGTTTTGGGTCAAGCGATTACAGCCCCCCTAGTGGGAAAATTTTGCAGATTTCTTGTCCATTATACAAATATAACACGAGTTTAATAAAACAGAAACAGGATTACAAAATAGTAGTAGAAATAGGACGAAGGATGAAAGACATAGGTAGACAGATTACAAATAACGTGATAGACGAGACAAGGGACGGGACGAACCATACAGTACCGTTACTGATATAACGGGACGTATGAGAGATATAGTTCAGAGGCCTTTTACTTCTTTCTTATAGAATGAAGCCCGTCACAGACGAAGCTATTATATATCGAGATATATAGCAAACTACCACAGACGGGAGCTATACTATAATATATATTTTGGCAGGCGTTCGGTGAAAAATGGAATATTCCGTATCATAAAAATATATCAAATATATACATACTAATGTGCCAAAATATACCGGGATATATGTGTCGACATATTTTGGTGACTCCATAAATTATATAAGTAGTTTTCCAATTACAGCGCATTATGCGACATCATGCTTAAAGTTGTATGTTTCAACTACAGCAACGCTTCGCACAATCGAGCACTCTCAAAAGTAATGTTTTCATGTGATGCGTGCAATCGATACCAACTCAGTGACAGAAAATTAGGTAACAAGTGCTTTTTCTTTAAGTTGGCATAGATCGAAAGTTTTATTGTATATTATCGTTAGTATTATTAAATTTATTGTTGAAATTTTTTTAAAGCTATCATATCATTGTAGATTTTTTTAAATAATCAAAGATAATTCGTGTCCGTGATGCTAGCGTACCCACGATCAATATACGGTTTTTCGTTATGCCATTAAATACTGCGTAAATAGTGCCAAATTAGTGTAAAAATAAAAAAAATAGTGCCTCTTTAATTTAAGAAATAAAGACCATTTTTACTGTGTACGCTACCATGACGTCAAGCTAGCGTACCCATGGCCGACCCCAAGAACGGCATATATTTAAGCAACGAAATTGACACACAAAAATAGTTCGCAAATAGTGCCCTGGCTTTACAAAATTTCATAATCAATACTCTTAAAGTACCAAAGATATTGAACTAAACATTCTTAGCTGGCGTCAACCTGGCGTACCCATAATAGTTCTCATAGAAAATAAACTTTTATCGTTATCAATTCTATATGTATAAATAGTGTGTCAAATAGTGCCTCTAACAGTAAAAGTATTTTATGTGAATCCGCATCACAACAATACATAAAAAGAATCTTAAATTCTAGGAATAAATGTATTGTAGTACAGTTGCACACAAAATTAATTTATGCACTAAGAAATTATCTATATATGTATTTTTACTAAAATAAATAGGTACTTTTTATAAAAAGATATTTTATTTCAATTCGAATTCACCAATCATAAATTCATATAAGAATTTCAACCTACCTACTAAGTACCTTACTTACCTACTATACTACGAAAATATTATCATTTCTGTACATGACTGTACTTTATATATAAAAATAATTTAATTGCTTTTTTTATATTGTTTTACTGTGAATTCACATAAAATACTTTTACTGTTAGAGGCACTATTTGACACACTATTTATACATATAGAATTGATAACGATAAAAGTTCATTTTCTATGAGAACTATTATGGGTACGCCAGGTTGACGCCAGCTAAGAATGTTTAGTTCAATATCTTTGGTACTTTAAGAGTATTGATTATGAAATTTTGTAAAGTCAGGGCACTATTTGCGAACTATTTTTGTGTGTCAATTTCGTTGCTTAAATATATGCCGTTCTTGGGGTCGGCCATGGGTACGCTAGCTTGACGTCATGGTAGCGTACACAGTAAAAATGGTCTTTATTTCTTAAATTAAAGAGGCACTATTTTTTTTATTTTTACACTAATTTGGCACTATTTACGCAATATTTAATGGCATAACGAAAAACCGTATATTGATCGTGGGTACGCTAGCATCACGGACACGATAATTCAAACTGTATTAAAAAAATAAACATAAGTATGGATCAAGGTACAAACATTGAATCTTTACATGAATAGTATATAGGTATGTACCAGTATGTACATGAATTTATTACTGGCCCCCTTTACCTTACTGAACTAGTGGTTAGTTATAAATCTGGCCAGTTTTATTTTTTTAAACAGATTTCGATTACGATATTATTCTCTTGTAATATTTCTACTACAGTAGTTGTTATTTTATCCAAAAATAAAGTAGTAAAAATATTACCTTTATGAAACAAATCAACCACAAAAATTACCTACCATTGGCTGTATGGGTATTATTCTCTTTGCCTTTTCTGAAAAGTGAGAATATTAAAAAAATGTACTCGCGGAGCACCATACAGTGTTGCCAACTCTACGTCTTTTTACGTAGATCTACGTATTTTAGGCCTTTTCTGCTAACCTACTAACTTCAGTCCCAAAATCTACGTATTTTCTTTTAATTTGTACAAATTTGCAAAATAACATAACTCAGTAGAATAGGGAAGCATATTTTCCGTTAACTATACAAATGTTTATTTCTTATAGTTTTTGGTATGAGGAACTGAAATACATCGATTTCACTTCATAAATTCAGAATGACGTCACAAAATTTATAAACAACTAAACGTCATTGTTGTGTTACTATGGTTTCTTTCGTCGGACTAAAATATATCTAAAGACTCTTATATCTTGTAGAAGAGTTTCCGTTTATTGGTTTTGTTGTCTAAATTAATGCTGGACGCCGAATTTGTAAAAGCAGAAACGACAAAGCTCTCTTACTTAGTAGGTACATTAATAAACTTAAAAAAAATGAATCAGTACTTACACCGAAGTGATCTATGCAAAAAGAAATGACTTTCAGTCGATAAAGTTACAGGATTTAGCAAGTTTTAAACATGTGTTCATGTGTAGATATGTTTATTTCTCTGGGCAATTTAAATTACAACTTTTCTGGAGTCTTTAACGTTGTGTTTCTACATTCTCGCATAATACAATCATGATAATTACTACAATACATTTTTTCGGTCTAATATAACAATTATTAACCATTTTAAAACATATTTTCAAAGGGTCAACTAGCCTATTTGACAACAGTGTATTCTTGTCATTCTTTATACAGAATGAAAAGGAGAGACTGATGTTAAATTTAGTGCTAAGTTTAGAGAATTATGTCAAATTGACACCTAGCAGCGTCTGTGTCTGATGGTAAATGTCTACCACAGCATGGTAAATGCTGCCAATGTAGAGTCTTCTCCAAGAATTCTATGTTCTATCTCCTTTTTTTAAATAAATTGTATAACAAAATACTCGTTTTAACGAACTAGCTTCTCTCAAAAAAAAAATACGTAGATCTACGAACTTTTCATATGCAATTTTTACTAATTCTACGTAATTTTGTCATCGGGCCTACGCCTTTTTCAAAATCCGAGTTGGCAACACTGGCACCATAACCTTCATGCGGAGCACAGAGTAGAGAGTACTTTTTAGATGAACTCGGACCACGCACGTCCGCAACGCGTTGTTTGTTTGTACACGTGCTATTTAAAACAAGATTTTTAAAATATATAAAAAATGGGAAAAGTTAAACGAGAACCCGTAGAGCAGGAAGACCAGGGAGAAGTCAGTATTAAAACTGAGCCACAGAGTTACGATGACAAGGTTAGCCATTGCAGCGTGATTGCGAAGCCGATGGCACATAAAAAACTAAGTAAAAAGATATACAAACTCATAAAGAAATCAACTGGTCATAAGAATTATATCAGGAATGGACTCAAAATAGTACAAAAGCAATTACGTCTCGGAGAAAAAGGGTAAGAGACTACTTTAGTTTGAGGTTATAAACGTACCTATTTCTATTACAGAAAAATATTTTTTATAATGCTATGAGCTGTTTCACTATATACTCTTTGAATAATACTATGAATTAAGTAGATGATGCGTTCAGGTGTAACAATTGATTTTGATGAGACTAATAATAACTAAAGTATTTATTTTGTTTACCAGGATCGTATTTTTCGCCGGAGATATTTCGCCCATAGAGATAATGTGCCACCTGCCAGCAGTTTGTGAGGAGAAGGACGTACCATACTGTTACACTCCAAGTCGCAAAGACATTGGTGCTGCGATGGGTACCATGCGAGGATGTATAATGGTTCTCATCAAAGAACATGAAGATTATAAAGACTTGTATGATGAAGTTAAAAGTGAAATAAAGCTATTAGGACATCCGCTATAAAGTTATGTTAAACTTATGTTTTTCCATAGGTTAGAATTATATGAAAGTTTCATCCATAACACAATATAGTCAATATTATTTGATTTTTTTAATGCATAACACTATCCAGTTTACTAGTGACAAAAATTGGATTGCTTTGAATGATTCACTCATAATGGCTTACCCGAATTTAAAAATTATTGAAGAAGATTAAGATCCAAACTTTCGTCAACATCGCTAAGTGAACACTGGGTGCGATGGGAACCTACCATAGTCTAAGCTCGGAGGACTTGAGTTCGAACCTTGCATTGGTCAAGCCTATTTTTGTTTGTAAACAATTTTACAAGCAGATAAATTAATTTCACTATACGAATCAGCAAGGCAGTGACATCTATGACGTAAACTTGTCAGAAGAAAGCATTATTGTGTATGAAATTTTTGTGAAAAACTATCGCTTAAGTAGCATTTACTCAAATGTAGCCACAGTTACAAAATCTGGACCAGGAATTAGATTTTGGTTATATAAATAAATAAATCGCAAACTTCTAAAGTCATAGTATGGAACTGTTTATGAAATTTTTATTTAGTGCTAAGTTTAGATTTAAGTTAAATTAGGTACTATTGACCATTATTTGTATTTTACAATTGAAATACATGGTAAACTGAAATTTTGAGGATTTAATTTCAAGATGTATTAAAATGCACTTCCAGACATATCTATAAACCCATCTAGCATTTGAAGTTTTGACTGTCTCTGGTCTCTCTAAAAGTAAATGTTACATTGAACAAAAAGTTTTAATGGAGTTTTGAAGCTGATTTATTAATCATCTTTTTTGTGGTTTTTATAAATATGTTATTATTCCTCAACCTAAAGCAGGCTGCTGATATTCCTGCTGCAAAGTCAATCTAGGGCGCACAGCAGTCTGGGCAATATCGGATGGTATCTACACACATGCCAACTATTAAGTACCTATCTTTCATATGAATTCGGGTATAAGTTGAGCTAAACACACGGGTTGATTATGGCCCCAGTATTTACAAAAGATCGGTAGGTAGGGCCTTGGCTATTTCTTTGGTGTGAGCACTAAAAAGGAAATACTGGGTGAAGAATTGGCAACAGAAAGAAAAGTATTGTAAATGAATAATGTTTGTTTTATTATCCCACATGTGAGGCTGGTCTTTATGTACTTCTATCACTCGAGACTAAACTTCATGCTCATTATGATCTGCCACCATCTGACCAACCGATTGAGAAATTGCCCCGATCGCGCTACACATGCGGCAACGTGCAGGGTGACAGGGACAATCTAGGAACCAAGGGGGGTCTCACGCCCCTGCCGCCCTGCCGCAGGGCCAATTTGGAAATTTGCCCCTGCTTGTCTACACAACACAATTTAGGAGGCATTTCCACTCTTACACCCTAGATTGTCCCTGTGGCAGGGATGTCAATAGCCTGCTTAATTAACCATTTTTGAGGGTTTTTAAAAATATCCTCAACCTAACATATTATAGCTGCATACCTTTGATGTGTCTGGAAGTGTAGTAAAAGATAACTCCAGGTTTTTGAATAAAACAATTTTGCTGTGACACATACATTTAATACATTTATTAAAATCTATGGGTACGTAAAAAATGGCAGATTGTCATTTGCTGACTGTGAAGATTGGCAAATTACAATTTACTTTCAATTATGCACTAAGATCACTAGAATGCCTAAGCTAAAAGTCAAACAGCCAAATACTTAATGTAATATCTTCATTTCTAAAAAGAGACTCTTTAATCAAATTTAAATAAAATCATTTTTAAACTTCAAATTGAAAATAAAGATACAGTGATGTTTTAATATATCATGTTTTATTTTAAATATTGTAATTTCTGTTATTCACCTAGCAAACTTCTTGATAAACAACCATAGACAAAAAAGCTCGCGCAGTAGCAATTTTACATACAAAAATCTACCGCACAAGTTTATTTGTTCGGAATCTTTCATATGAAGTTGCTGGTATATATCCATAACTTATCATTTTATAAGAATTGAGGAGCTAGCGAACAAAACAGTATAATTACATAAAATTAAATTATACCGAAGCTGTATAAAACTGAATGACATACCTCCAGTGAGCTCTTGGCATGGTTTTAAATTTATAAATTTGGTAATTTTATCACTGTCTTAGGCGGTTTTGATTGAAAATTATTAAGATTCAAATTCAATGGGCCCGAAACCTCCGGACTGTAAAAAAAGTAGTTTGACCAGATGCATAATTATATTCTTTTGTTCGCCAGCTCCTTAATTTATCTAACAGGTATTAAGGAATTCATTATTTCATTTGAAATAATACATTTTGGTACATTAAAGTATTCAGCTGCAAGAATTGCTTAACGGAATAGATTTCAGTAAGTTTACTACTTTCAGACTACTTGTATAGATCAAATTACTAAAGACTAAGTGCAAGAAACGGTAGCGGTCTCTGAAAGATTGCAAAGAATGGTTAACTTTTGACTCTCTTTTAATGTGGATTTTGATTTGTGGTGGTGTTTAGTTTACTAGTAAATTTTTGTATTATAGATTTTTTATTACAAAAAGTACAATTTGCCATCATGCATGGGGTACCAGGCTATATAGGAATTTCGCCTGATTAGCAGAGGATATTAAAAACAAGCAATGACACCGCCAGCTTTTTTTCCATTTAGTTAACTAATTATGAAAGTGGATAAAATATTCTTTTTTCTTGATCATCATCATCCTCATCATCAGCCTATTAATGTCCCCACTGCTGGGGCACAGGCCTTCCCTATGGATGGAATAGGGAGATTGGGCCATGACTCACCACGCGGGCCCAGTGCGGATTGGTGGGTACTAACGACTGCAAATGCAGCCGGGACCAACGGCTTAACGTGCCTTCCGAAGCACGGAGGAGCTCGAGATAGTAAATTTTTGGTCACCCATCCAATGACCGACCACTGCGAAAGTTGCTTAACTTCAACGATCGCAGCCGAACGCGCTAGCCACCTGCGCCATCGAGCTCCTTTTCCTTTTCTTGATCAGTTAGGAATAATTGAACAAAAATTCTTCTTTCGCAGATGGTTAAGATAATGGACTTAAAAAGGTAATATTTGTATGTCGGTCTGGTGCATTGGAAATAATTTCGGCATGCCTGCGCGTGTATCTATACATAAAACAGCTGTCTCAATATACCTATTAGCAGAAAAGCAACTTGCATTCTTTCAGAGAAACTAGCAATTTTAACAAAATAGTGTGTAGATACTAAGTAAAGTATACTGAAATCTTATCCTACCGTAAGAACTAGTAATTGAAGCAATGTTATTAATTATATTTTAGAGATTCAACCCTGCTTTTGAATGAGTGCTCAGATGAGTGAGATCATCATAATATTAAAAATATCCAATTAAAAAATACAAATAGGAAAATACAGATTCTTTGATTAAATGTCGCGAAGATTACAGCACGAATGATGGTTGGGTCGATTTGAACTATTTGTTTATTTCAATGAAGACATGATAATATTTTGTACTTCAAGTTCTTATTAACAGTTCTAATCTAAAGATAAATCCATGATTCTGTCATGCCATACAAGGGTTTTAGAGTAGGTACTCACCAAGAGATATTTGAGAAATACTAATCAATAAATTTTAATGGCATTTGCATAGAACCACAGCTGAAATGCTGTTAGACTTAAATTTAAAAGTGGAATCGCATGCTTTTGCCTTTATTACTTACAGTTAACTTCAAAAGACTTAACACGACTTAGGATTTTACCACTGCAGTAATATGAAAGTTTATAGAAGGCATGTATAACTTCACCATACTTATTCCTAGGTGTGAGCGGTATCCAGATGAGCTTACCTATTAATCTCATAACTTTGTATCCAACTCATAGAGCAACATGGAAGTGAGTAGACATAATAGTCACTCAAATTGTCCTTTTTGAAAGGGGAAAATACATACAAATCCACTTTCATATAGGTACATGCGTAAATAATACACTGTAATTACGACATTCACACATACACATTACGCAGTACACCTCCAAATCCTGTTTCTATTGCCATCCTTGTATGCCCAATGCATGCGACAGAGGAGAAAGCTGTGTATGTCTACTCCACTCCTGGCCGCTGCGGCAGTGTTGCTTTATGGTCCAACTACTCTTAAAGTACTGATCAATGATCATACAACAATAATCGAAATCAGCCCACTTGGTAAAACCCTTATTCAATAATGAGAAATACTTTTTAAAAATTTCATTTGACTGTACCATAGCGCCAATGTAATCAAAATAGCCCAACGGAAATTTAATAAAGTAACAAGTAAAATAAGATTGTCATTTTCAAGTAATCGTGCAGAAAAAGTGCCATTATATTACTTACTAATAAAGATTACGTAATAATATTATTGCTGTTATAAGATAATACGGATTAACAAGCATCACTAAATACTGAATTATACGCAACAACATAAACAAGAGTTCTGTTTGACAGCCTTAACCTCGACAACATTTCACAACATACATAAATATAACTACGTACCCGATTCTAAATTTCCAACAGTCCTTAAATAACACATGCAATCAATACTGTACTTATATAGTCAGCAACACTAAACGCACAATCGAATATAATTTTCTGTTTTACTCAGCAATGCTAAAAAAATTCTTAATGGTCCTTTGAGCTGTATCAAATAAGAACTTTAGATAGTTTCCATTTGTCCATCACAAAAAACATTCATACTTATGGCCTGCGCAGACGACACTGTCCGCGGAGTGCAAAAGTCCCGGAGTCGTGAAAAATGCCCGCCGCAGACTTTGCACGGACTCAACGCGATCATTTGTTGCCGGAAAGTTTAGAGAAGCGCCCGCTATGATAGTAAATATTCACAGAATACGTTGTATTGTAATTAACATGAAGTATAAGAACAAGAGAATACTTTAAAAGTTAATACTGAGTCTATCCCTTAAAATCGGATCGAGCACGCAGCGCCACATGAGTTAAATTTTTTCGTAAACACACTCGTACTTTTGTTTAGTCCTGTCACTCGGTGTTCTCAGAGGTCCCTCCGATTCCATCGGCCTAGGTACGTTTTAGACTACCCCGACGACGAAATCACCCGCGCCAACGCGCCTCCGATTCCTCCCACACAGGCCACAAACATCAACACTACACAGCTAGCAAACGTGCACACTAGCTTAGCATTAGGCAGACACCGCACCCGTAGGGTAAGAGTGCGAAGACCCGGTCTACACACGACACGCTTTACCAGGTACCTGGGCGTTTTTCCCCGCCCCCCACGACAACGGCTAACTAGAGCCGAGGACCGAGTCTCAGAGACGCCCTCTAGTTGAGCCGACCCCCTCAGCTTCGAGTGGTATAGAGGCTACAGACGGAGAGGAGACACCCCCGTGGGGAGACGCCATCCGCCTGGAATACCTCTAGAGACGAATTGGGGACGGCGAGATCCTAAGGGGACCTCAAGCCGAGAATTGGCGAGTGCCTCTAGAGGTATTCCAGGCGAGTGGCATCTGCCCATGGGAGTCTCCTCTTCGTCTGGAGCCTCTAGACCACTCGAACCTGAGGGAGTCGGCTCAAATAGAGGGAGTCTCTGAGACTCGGACCATGGCTCTAGTTAGCCGTTGTTGTGGGGGGCGGTTATCCCTCGTGCGTTACTCGATGTACTATAAGCAATCTATTTTGACGATTAAAAAAAATCCGTGGATAAAAAAAAGTCCCTCGTCTGCGCAGGCCCTTATTGTTAGGTACCACATTACCTTTATTTTTCACTCGGTAATAGATAAATATCTAACTACCTATTATGCAAAATACTCATAGCTGTTACTGACTTAAGAAATAGCTCGGAAACAAACTGTTTCATAAGTCAGTGACATTAGGTAGCTGTAAAAGCTTGTGATTCAATAAACGAATTAGTTCAGTGTATGAAACCCTTTTTTTGTGTCTGGGAAATGCCTTACGTATCTTTCAACCACTGGGAGAGCGAGAAGAAGGTATGGGGCCTCCTCACTGTTCATTTCAGCCAGTCCTGTGGCCGGATGAAATAAACAGGGCCCTACCTAACGTCCTGAACAGGGCTACTAAAAAACCAGACAAAACTCCTGCACCTTCACCAGACACGCACTATGAGGACCGCGGTCCTCTAGTGCGCGCCGAGAGGGCGGATATGGTCGCAGCTCGCGTTCCCAAAAGGCCGCGCACAGTGACGTCTTTGACCTATTGGAGGCCCTGCCCCTCTAGCATGACCACCGAAACGGGATACGATAAAGCGATACATCGGCATTAACTGTCAGACTACAGTGGAGTTTGACAGTTGAAACTCGATAAAAAGCTATAACATATCCCGTTTCGGTGGTCATGCTAGAGGGGCTGGGCACATTAGGATAATGGGGCCCCTATGAACCCCGTTTGGCGATCTAACAGGAACTAGGGACTTTGTATTTGATCTGAAGTGGGCTCCTTTCGATCGCGGGGCCCTGGGCACTAGCCCAAAGTGCCCACTGGGAAAGGCGGGTCTGGCCGCGCACGCACTAAGTGTATGGAACCCCAATAAATCGAGGCCAGACTCGCGCTTGGCCAGTTTATTTTATTTGCATATCATAATATAGTTTAAGACTGAATGGCACAAAGATGGATGCACTCGGTATATTGCTAACAGGTAACAGAATATTTGCTTAATCTGAGGGCCATTCGCCTAACGGAAATGCTTTGGAAAACTAACGCTTACGATTTCATTTTGTTATTCCTAGCCGCCTGAGGTTTTCAATTGCCTCGGGCTCTTTTTTTTTCTTTTGCATTGGTAATAATAATTTAAAAAAAATGAGCGTGAGGTATTTGATAACCTTTGGCGGTCAGAAATAACAAAATAAAATCGAAAGCGTTAGCGTTTCCCAAAGCATTTCCGTTAGCCGAATGGCCCCCTGGCATTGGTCCTAGACCTAAAGGAAAATTAAGGGCAATTATAATTATATAAAAAAAAAATACATAACGATTACACAGGATTGTGTTGCTGACTGTACACGTATCGGCCAGTTTCACTAATCAATTTCCATTAAGAAAAAAGCCTTAAAGAGCTTAACTGCCTTCATAGATTTGATTACAAGTTCACAATAACAACTCTTTCTAAGAACGTAATCAGAATAATCTTAGCTTTTAGGTACTGGAGAGTGATTAACGATACTGGCCGTAAATCATCTTTGGAACCATTATCTTGGTTTCACCATATTAATCACAGTTGACAATGTAAACCTATCACAGACTACAATTTCGAAGCAATAATTAGATTTGTATCTGCGCATTTCATATGCTTCCTCTAATGCATCAATCAAATCATTCACACGCGACAATCTACAATAATGACGGTTTGCATTCAATTCCATTTTGTCTTTACTCTGGCTCCACAAGTTGGTTCCAATATTGGCCTCAATACTTCTCATCCAGTGTCAACTCAAGGTTGAGCCCAATGCTAAGTTCTAGATCAAAACGTTGGACAAGCAGCATTAGGGCCAATATTAGTACCAAAGTGTGGAGCCGAGTCTATTGAATTTAACGTACCATTTATATTTACAGAGAGCGAAAACCTTATGGTCCATACGCCCATATGGTATTTATTCAATAGTTTTACTCTAAAGCGATTAAAAATCAAAGTGGACGCGACCCAGGGCCCGATCCAACGGGAGGCGAGTCGGGCATTTGCCCAGAGCGGCAAAATTGACTTCAGGGTCAGCCGTAAAGTACGTCACTAAAGGGCAGCAAAAATCTTTGATCGGAGCGGCAAATTTTCTAGGTTGGGCCCTGTGTGGACCCGAGAACTCACAGCAAGAAGGATCATTCGTGGGACAACTGTCGAATAAATACCCTATGTGAGTATGAACCATTAAAAGTAGGCATATCCAATATCTTAAAACTTCTTACCTAGGTCGAATTATATATTTTTGGATGGACCTCCCTTAGTCAATTTAACTTAGTTTCAAGTAGGTGATTCGACCATTAATTTATACAAATCACGAATAATATAAATAAGCGGTGTATAATCAATATTGTATGTAATACTGCGTTGACTAGAAAGTAAATAATAATAACAATACAAAATCTTAATATAATATTATTATAAAAAATAGGAAAATAAAAAAAAATACTAGGTGCTACATATCAATTATAAACTCTAGCATAAATCTTATGCTTTTCTGATATTTGGTAATTGCATAAAAAATATATTTGTTACTGATTATAATACTAAATAAAAGTTTTATTTGAGAATAAAAATAGATTTACATAATTATGGCAAATCAGACCAATAAACAGATTACGTATAATAGTTAAAGATTATAATTTTATTCTTAAAAATAAATAGATTGTATCAAACTAGACGAAAAGTAAGTAAGAACTATACTACATTATTGTTGAAAATTATTAAACGTTTAAAATGAATCGGCTTTAACAAAGACAGATTTCCAAGTAGTTCAAGCTATTAAATAACATGATAGGAAACTAGTGCATATTCAAATATTTATCTGTTTATAAAATTAAATACCTCAAAAATAATACTGATAAACGAAAAAACACTTATACTAATAAACAGGCAATACATAATATTCCTATTACCAGACCGCATAAGATATACAGGGCTGCGTTCCAAACCTAAGCTCCAATTATAACAAATGCCATTTTTGACATTAGTTTCATACATTTTATGTCAAAATTGAAACGTCATGGTGAAAAGTTGCACTTAAAGCGCTAGGTCTGGAATGCAGCCCAGCTTTATTTATTAATTGTTGCCATTAAAATAATTCTAATTAATAAAGTATAAAAATTAATAAAGTTTTCATTAAATCTAAGATGACAATGATAAAATATATTAAAAAAAACTGTAATGTTAAACACAAAATATTATGACAGAAACAATGCTCATAATCGACTTTTATATAACGATATCACTTACAATAAACGACATCGCTTAACTTTAAAACTAAACCGAACTGTATCCCTACTTACATTACAACACTAACGTCAAGCACCAAGCTAAAACCTACCTCTGTGCCTTACCTTAGAGAGCATTTTCCAATAACATTACATTATCAACGTTCACACACGCCTGTTACAATTAAAATAGAGGCACATATACCAATCCGAACTGTCCAAAATCGACTTTTATCCACTTTGTAATAAGTTTAAAATTGCTATTGCGTTTTTTAGCGCGTTCAAAGCAAAATAAAGGCGTGAAACGCTATAAATTTGATACTGATTTAATTAAACGGTTGGAACTTGAAAAAACAAGGAACAGGTCTTATACTAAACTTTAATTAGGTATTAATGGCGATATTGCATTGGCAATGTGGTACATTTTTGTATAGTCTGAAATCGGTTTGTGGTCTGTCGTTTTTAGTCGATGAAACTATGAATCAAGTTACATGTGTACGATTTCTCATCGTTACTGTTATTTCTATCTCTCTCTAATTTTCAATTAAAAATTACTTGTAAAGGTAACATAATAATTTATAGTTTACATGTGTTATTTTTTTAATTTTATTTTTTCTTATATAGTAGAAATTTCATTTGCAATAAAAACCCACAGTTAAAATCCCTACTGCTTACGCTTCAAGAAAGAAGTAATACAAAAATACCAAATAAACTAAGTATATTGTCAATGCAATATCAACCTAACGATCGGTGTATGTTTGCAGTCATTAGAGTCCAGAATCGTGCAGTGATCTATATGAATAAGTCGCATATTATACGTAGATGTGGAAAAGTACAATAATGGTCAGTATAGTGCTCACGAATAACATTGACACTGGCAGGAGCACCGCGAATCGGAGGGACCTGTGGATACATTAATAAGTCAGTTAATATAGTAGCGAGATTCAGTTTTATTGCCATGCAATAAAGGTGTTATTGTATTGTCGAAATATTATCAGACTACCATGTATTTGACTCACATACAATGAATATGTGACCCAAGCACCTAATGATTATAGAACAAGATTTATACCCTTTGACTTACAAGCTAAAAAGGTGACCAAAGTTCGGCAATATTCAGCTATTATATAGTGAAAAGCAATACGTGTAATGATGGGATATTTTACTTCTTACACACCCTGCAAATTTGCCCTTACTTATTTAATTACAAATGAATTACAAAAGAAAATAAAATCGTTATTATAATGTAAGGAATCCGTGTAATGATCTCCTAAAACACTCGGTAAATTTATTATTTAATTTTAAAATAATTACAAAAGCTAATAAAATCATTAAGTAATGTCAAGAAATATGATAATATGGAAGAATCTTAGCAACACATACCTCCAGTAGGGCAGGTGTCAGAGCGGCGCCGGAGGTGGAGCTGGGGGCGGCGGGTGCGGCACCTCGCCGCGACACAACGAGGTTGTCACGTCTGCGCCCGGCCCGCTCCCGCGCCGCACCCTACCTACATGCACATAAGGCCTACTCTCGAATGACACGCGCGTCTACTGGCACCTCGCCGCGACACAACGAGGTTGTCACGTCTGCGCCCGGCCCGCTCCCGCGCCGCACCCTACCTACATGCACATAAGGCCTACTCTCGAATGACACGCGCGTCTACTGGCACCTCGCCGCGACACAACGAGGTTGTCACGTCTGCGCCCGGCCCGCTCCCGCGCCGCACCCTACCTACATGCACATAAGGCCTACTCTCGAATGACACGCGCGTCTACTGGCACCTCGCCGCGACACAACGAGGTTGTCACGTCTGCGCCCGGCCCGCTCCCGCGCCGCACCCTACCTACATGCACATAAGGCCTACTCTCGAATGACACGCGCGTCTACTGGCACCTCGCCGCGACACAACGAGGTTGTCACGTCTGCGCCCGGCCCGCTCCCGCGCCGCACCCTACCTACATGCACATAAGGCCTACTCTCGAATGACACGCGCGTCTACTGGCACCTCGCCGCGACACAACGAGGTTGTCACGTCTGCGCCCGGCCCGCTCCCGCGCCGCACCCTACCTACATGCACATAAGGCCTACTCTCGAATGACACGCGCGTCTACTGGCACCTCGCCGCGACACAACGAGGTTGTCACGTCTGCGCCCGGCCCGCTCCCGCGCCGCACCCTACCTACATGCACATAAGGCCTACTCTCGAATGACACGCGCGTCTACTGGCACCTCGCCGCGACACAACGAGGTTGTCACGTCTGCGCCCGGCCCGCTCCCGCGCCGCACCCTACCTACATGCACATAAGGCCTACTCTCGAATGACACGCGCGTCTACTGGCACCTCGCCGCGACACAACGAGGTTGTCACGTCTACTGCACCATCTCACAATATCGCCTTATTCTGAGATCGCGCAGTAGAACGATCACACAGGGGCGTAAGTCGTGGTGTAAAATTTGGTAAAGGCAATCACATTCTGCGCGAGTTGCGGTTCCAGTGGGCGCGAGTGCAAATCTTACTGTGAGTTCTTTGCCTCATCTTTTTGAACCATAACAAGTGTTCACATATTAATCTAGAGAGATAAGATTCGGTAACAAAAAATCGCAACTGCTAAAAAAGTGTTTCATGAAATGCAGCGCCAAGCATGCATAACTTGCATTGCTGATGTCCATGGGCAAGCACTTAACATCAGGTGACCCAACTGGTCGTTTGCAATAAAAAAGAAAGTAATAAAAATGTAACAAGTATGAAGTCCGTTCTCAACCTCAGTACATTAGGATCTATTTTCAAATGACAAACATATTAAACATTGTCTCACAACACAGACGGAGTTATTCATTACTGTTGTTACAGTATGAAATAATAGGAAACAACTACGTTTAATAATTTTTTTAGAAAACTACAAGCAACAAGGTAAACACAAAAAAACATAACAGTACCCCCTAGCACGAACAAAAATAGAATTCGAATAGTTTGCGAGTCCAAAATGACATTGTCAATTTTTGTATGTAAAATTGAACAGCAGCACCACAGAGGACGTAACGAGAACCTAAAATTAGTACACATTTTGACAATGACATTTCGTACTCGCAAAGGTTACGAATTCGATATTGGTTCTTGCTAAGAGTACAGTACAAGCAAGAGTTTAACTAATGTATTTAAGGTTCATTTTTGTGTACGTGACCGTACCTATTAATCATGATCCTTGACAGATTAATTTAAAACGTTTAACTTGTTTATTGGATTTTGAAGCTTATTATTTTTTACGATTTTGAAAGATATTTTTTTTATATTGATGGGTCCGACAAATGACTCCACCCCACCTGATATTAAGTGACGGTGAAGTCCAGACGTGAAGATAGCTGGTAAAGCAGTTCTACCTGCCACACCAGCCATCCTCACCCTGCCGGCCTGCATGTTGCTTTTTCACGCCTCTTTTAAAGGATCCCAGGTTGTAAAAAGGGAGGGAACATGTGAGCGGGCAGAGCATTCCATTTTCGAATAGAGCGACAAAGAAATGAGTCACCAAATTTCTTTGTACGCGTTGGAATTGTGGTTTTACTCACTAGAGAAGCATAGACATCCGGTCTGCTGCGTCGCCTGTATGGAGGTGGTCGGACGGAGCTCCTTCTGCTCTTTGCTCTGCTCGTTGACGCATTTCTGGTAGTAATCATACTCTTTGACGTACCTAAAAATCACAATAATATTTGGTTCTTAGGTTTTCACGCACATCACTCATGAAATAAAACTAGTTTTAACGGGTTAATGCACGAAATTTATTTCAATAAAATCATTATTATGACGATGCAGACCTGAAAAGGCTGCGAAACGTCAATAAATAAATAAAGTTCGTGCATTAACCCGCTAAAACTAGTTTTATTTACACAATAATATTATAGAGGTGAATTCTTCTCGTCTGAATGGCTGGAGCGATTTTAATAAAATTTGGTATGGAGTTAGCTGACACCCTGGAGTAACACATAGTCTTCGTTTTACTGCGGGAAAATATCCCTAATAAACCGCGTGTAACACCGCGGGGCACAGCTAGTATTAAATAAATATAAATATTTCTAACACTAACACCAATAGGGTATTTGACAGTATTAAAAATAAAGTGTCAATTGTTAGCATCTGTGTTTAGAATGAATATTGACAGGGGTTTTTACTATTTTTACAAAAAAATATTCATAATTTTACTAAAAACCCACGAAAAAGATAATAGTTTTCTTTTTTATTGTCACGTGACCCAAAACGCTTGGGATTGGCGGAGCCTCAAAATGACGTCACACGCAAGTAAACTTCCGGTTAAAGTGACATTACATTGTATCGTTTGACGTTTTAATAACAGTCGTGTGCCGTCACACACTAGTAAGACGCCATATTGTCCAGAGAAACGTTTTCGCGGCAACTTGAAAATGGAGTTTTTGTTTTGGTTATTTTCACTGAAATACACAACAGAATGATGAATATCCATTTTTACGGACTCCATAAACATTAGTCAATAACGTGAGATCGTTTTCTAAAACTTGTCAAATACCCTATTAGCCTAATCCTAAAGTAAGCACTGTAAGGGCTTGTGTTATGAGGTTCTAGGGTAACGGATAGAATACATATACTGATACGTATATAAGTATATTTATATAAAATATAGAAATACATATCCACGACTAAGGTACAAATGCTCGTATTCATTATACTAACATTTGCCTCACCGGGATTCGAAGCCGGTACCTCTCTAATAGGCAATACCTTAAAACCCGGCGTAGAAACCACTCGGCCGCGCTGGTCGTACCTAATATTATGACATTGTGTCATATGCTATAATTATTTTGGCAAATATTCATTACTACAAAGTTAAAGATATTTCATTTAAATTAAAACGTTCAGTAAACTGGCGGAAGACAAAAAATATGATGCCAAAAAGTTGCATTGGCTTTTGAACGCATTATAATACTACTAAATTGAAAAGTACTGGTAAAGCAAAAAACCGTTAAAATGTGATATTTTGCAATCAGGTCGGGTTACACCTTTTTACTCTTGATAAAAAAGTTTTAGAAACATCGGCTTGATTTGTTTACCACATCTCTCAGAGGAAGTTGAATAGCGTATCTTCTAATATATAAAATTCTCGTGTCACCGTGTGCATAATTGAACTACTCGGAGACGGTTCGACCAATTTACGTGAAATTTTATATGCATATTCAGTGGGTTTGAGAATCAGACAACATCTATTTTTCATCCCCCTAAATGTTAAGGGTGGTCCAACCTTAAATATTTTTGGTTTTATTTTTTTATGATACAGCATACAAAAATACATACAAGCCTAAATTTTCACCCTTCTACCACAAACCCCTATTTTTTGATGGCGGTACGAACTTCGCCGGGACAGTTAGTTATTTAATAAAAAAACGAGTGAGCCCTACAGTAGTCGCGGATGATGTGTAATATTTGAAACCTCACCTTATATTATTAAAAAAAGAAATAAAACCTACTACAAAAGGAATAATCCATTTGAAGACTTTTTGGCGGGATCGGGAAGCGTCACACGTGTTAGTGTCTAATAATAGTGGATTATTAACAACTAAGTGTTCGAGAACATGCACAAGTGTTGGCAAGTGAAACAAAATAGCGGAAAGTGTCGAAAGACGACGTTCCCTGAAGAAGTCCACGGGGAGGTTCCAGTAAATCCCTACACATTTACTGAAACATAGGGAAAGGGGGTTTAACTTGACTGCCACTTTGACTTGATTTATTACTTTGACACATACTATAGTATTTGTAAACATTTTAACACTTGACATTGGCTAAATGCACAAGCCGTGCGAAGCCATTTAGAAAAAAAAGAAAAGAAAAGCTATTTGAACATTATGTTCTAAAATCAAATCAAATAGCGCGCGCTTCCCAAACTTCCTGTTACACTCTTCCGCCCCACTTCAAATAATCACTCTCACAAATTGCACGAAAGCGAGAGGAAAGACGTTACACATGAAAAGCTTATACTTACCAGACAGGCGGCCACCGATTGTCAGCAAGATAGTCGCGCGACGCGACGCTGAGGTGTCTCGCGCGACAAACGCGGTCGTAAGCGGAGCACAGCCGCCACGTGCACCACGCCGACAAGTGGTGGGCGTTATGTAGCTGGAGACAAGGACCATTATCTATATCATCATCATCATCATCAGCCTTTTAATGTCCCCACTTCTGGGGCATAGGTCTTCTCTATGGATGGAATAGGGAGTTTGGGCCATGACCATGACGAACGCGAGCCACAACACATGTGAAACACGATTCTTTGTAATCCCGCCATTCCAGCGGAATCCCACAAATTTTTAGAACGACATTAGTTCCGCATAATGTATTTCCTAGGAGCAACTGTTTACCGCGCCTTCTGAAGCACATACACAATACACGGGAGAAAATGATAATATATTCTAAAACCCCACCACGTCTGATAATCAGAGGAGACTATGATAAGAATGTAAGGTTATATCTCAGTACAAGAACTGAAGCATAGACAGACGTCGGGCGACGCGACGCTGAGGTATCTCGCGCGACAAACGCGGTCTTACGCAGTGGTGGGGGGAAACAAAGACCATTCCCTATATACTGTCACGCTTTAAGCCTTTTCTAGACGGATGTTATACAGCATAAAAACCAAGGTGACCTTGGTGGGAACATGGTTTCCATCCGCGTTATAATTTTCGGCTACACGGATGTAATCCACGCGCCAACACGCATTCGCGAGCCGTCTTCTGGCGCGAAAACACGTATGTACGTACACGTGCGCGGACTGTATTAACCGTATTGTAAAAATGGCTCCAAATTTGACTAAATTTCAAAAAGTGGTCTTTGCCTTAGCAGTTTTGCCAAACGGTTGTAATCCACGCGCTCTAACCGCGGATGGAATCACGCGCCCGTAATCCAAGGACGTTGAAGGTCAAATCAAAATTTGGATTACATCCTTCGTCTAGATGGATGGCAACGCGCAAGGTCACCTTTGTTGGGACCCTGGATTACATACGTCTAGAATAGGCTTTAGGCTTATACCGTACTACGGTATTTTTCCGCAAGTGGGAAACCGCTAAACCAATAAAACCGCCCGAAGCGCACACACTATGATTAAAAACCGCAAAACTAGACACGATTAACACGGTTTGAAAATTAAGAAATTATACAATTTTCCCATTGTTATTATTTAGAGTAGATTATGATAAGAATGTAAGGTTATAACTAAAGAACTGAAGCATAAAAAGAGTTTGAATTCAACTCATACAGTCGACTACATATAGTTATCTTATTTTTACATATAGGCCAAAAAGGGAAAAATATATGTTGCTATGAATGATACTATGAACAGCGTGCGTACCTCTATACAAAGGTAATTTAAGATACCTTTGGATATTTTGTTATGACGAATTGGATACCTTGGTTAGTTCATCATCATCAGTCTATTAACGTCCGCTCTGCTGGGGTACAGGCCTTCCCTATGGATGGAATAGGGAGTTTGGGCCATGACGCACCACGCGGGCCCAGTGCGGATTGGTGGGTGCTAACGACTGCAGGTGTAGCCGGGATCAACGGCTTAACGTGCCTTTCGAAGTACGGAGGAACTCGAGATAAAAGATTTCTGGTCACCCATCCAATGACCGACCACTGCGAAAGTTGCTTAACTTCAATGATCGCAGCCGAACGCGCTAACCACCTACGCCATCGAGTTCCTCTTCCGCCTTTGTTAGCTTTACGATACCGAATCAAAAAGCGAATAAAAGTCAAATGCAACCTGTCAACACGCCACTAATACTTTTTGGTTGGGCAATACATACTTTGTTTGCAAATCTTTTCATTGCTCCATTGTCTATGGGAGGATACGCACAATGAGGGCTATCGCGTATGAATTCGCCGCTAGAGGCGCTAGTGTAGCGTGAGGTCTCCGAAATGTCAAATGTTATTGCTTGTTGGTTAACTACGCGGGTTTATTTCTTATTAAAATAATGTTGTGAATAATTTGTAACAATTCGGCTTAATTATGTCAAATATGAGTTATGTGGCAATGAATGTCAGTTATTAAAAATTTGAGCTTAGAAAAATGATTATGTTCCCATTTTTTCCGAATAAAACGGAACTGGGCGTAACTGTGGCATGGCCTATTATGTTTAGGATATGGTTCTTTTGTGTTAAAATACGATCTAAATGTAACCTTTGATTTCATGTGCGTATTAATAAACTTTAAAAGTTACAATTTAGGACCTCACTCAACAGTGGCGCCATCTGGTGAGGCAGAAAACGGTAGCCCTCATTATCATAGCATGACTTCTCTGCTTTAGTTCTTGTTCTGATGCCGCAATTACAGTTGGTCTTTAGCCCGTATTCGGTTGCACGAAACACGTTACTCGAATTCGGGCACCCGAAGCAATATTTACACTGAAATACGGACTGGAAGACGGTGTTGGGTAAACAAAAGGAAATTTACCCGTATACGGGCGTACTCGACTCCGTTCATTTGCACTTAGTCGTCTACCTAAATTCAATTGGCTTTCGTATTCGGGCTAACGATCAAGTATAATCGCGCTATGAGGGTTATATGGTGTGGAGCTGTGTACTAACCTTAGATTAAAACAAAAAGGGTAGATACGGCACTAGCCTCACAAAAGTGATCTGCACCAATTGTGGTCCACGACCCTAATCGCTTTAGTCACAACTTGACATGCAAACGACGTACATGTGAATGCCAAAAAGAAATTTTGCTAATATTTTGTGTTTATATGGTAAAACAATGCCTAAGTGTGTTTTTAAAAAGTGCACAAAATGCTCAAGAACTAAAAATAAAACCCACGGCATCGCTTTTCATTCGTAAGTACTATAAAATATGTTTTTTCATAAAAATTGCAGTTTGTTTTGAATCTTATTGGGTAGTGACGTCGAGTACTGGTCGCGTGATTGGTCGGTAGTGCAGTGACGCAGATCTCGCCGTCTCGTTCGCTGTTGAAACTTAACGTGCTGTTTCGTTCGGGTCGGTGATGCAGTAACGCGGATCTCGCCGTCCCGTTCGCGCTGCCGTGGGATCAGTTTTTGTTTGATGCAAGTATGAGCGTACCGTATCTACCCTTTTTGTTTTAATCTAAGGTACTAACAGTATTTTTCGATAGATTTCTTAACATTTATATTATTGACAAATAAAATAATTACCTTTACAGGTTCCAACAGTGACAGCGCTATTTCCACCACTTGGTCATCTTCGCCGCACACCCTGTGAATAAAACATGTGAAAACGTTAATAACCTGGTAATTAAGTGGAAACGTGAGAATCAGCTGGTACAGCATTTACAAACTGCCACACCAACCATCCTCACCTTGCCGGCCTGCAAAAATGCGTCTTCACGCCTCCCTTGCGGGACCCCAGATTGTAGGAAGGAGGGAAATTGCGTATGCCAATTGAGAAGCGTCAATATATGCGTGTGTTGTTGTTAACCGACTTAAAAATAGAAGCAGTTCTTAATTCAACATAAAATTTACAATAATTGGCGTAATTCTACTATAATATCCTTACCTAATATTATAAATGCGAAAATGTGTTAGTCAGTTAGTTTGTTGCGTTTTCACAACTAAACCGCTAAAAAGATTATCATTAATTTTGGCTTACAGATAGATGGGACCTTGGAGACGGTTATAGGCTACTTGTTTTTTCGGTTATGAGCACTGTGCCTGAAATGCAAGAAGCCACTGCTGCAATATGCCTAACACGTCATTTTTACTACAAAGCAGACTGCCTAGAAGAAATGATGCCACGATTCCAATAATACCTAAAACGCTAATTGCCTAAGAAGCAGATTACCTACAATGTATTGTAACTGTAAAGTTTGCTGTCAACCGTCAATTCGGAATCTTTTAATATTAATAAATAACAAAAAAAAACCTTTAAATATACAAATGTTTTTTTAAACTTAAAAGACTGAGCATAAGGACAAAATATACTATCTTATAATTTTCAAGTGCTAGTATCGAATTACAACAAACCTTTACAAGAAGAGTTTTAAAACAAACTTGGGCATTGGGCATTAAAAAGACTTAGTGCAATTTAGGCATTTCGATTTGTAGACGAAATAACATTTAGGCATTCATGGGTAGCCAATCTGCTTCTTATTCTATTGACGTATTAGGCATTTTTGCAGCAGTGGCATCTTGCATTTTAAGCACTTTGCTTATAAACGCTTTTTTTCAAAAAAAAAACTTACAAGGAGTGGGTTAAGGGGAGGGTTTCTTTTTTGAATAAAAAAAAATGTTGTTGCATCGTCCGATTTGCTTAAATATTTGCAGATTATATGTTTATAAATTAGTTATCAAAGTATACATATGTTTTTTATATCCCTGTAAATGGGGCGTAATATAGGGTTGTAAATTTACTAATTTCGTAGATGGCGCTGAGCAACATTTCGTTTTAACAGTCATTATACGCATTTTCGCGTTAAGTACTACAAAAATAGATAGATGGCACTGAGCGTTTTGGATTTGTTCCCGGGTGAAGTTTTTGTCGATTCATCATATCTCGAGGTGCCGACAGGCGTTTCAGTGTTTTAAAAAAAAACAATCGCATAGCTCAAAAACCTCGTCTCTTCTCCGCTCCGCTTTACATATAATATCGTGACCATTATGGCTTGGGACAACACTAGATGCCGGTCGCATAACCGACTCCCAAGCGGCGCTTACCAGACAAAAGATGCTGAACATTCTGTTAGCGTCTGCCAAATGAAATATTTATTTATTTATTTGGCACGCCAACAATTTTACACCCAACATAATTAAAAAACATACGTTGTACATAAAGTTGTGCAAAAACAGTTACAGGCATACTGAATCTTATTTCTGACAAAATTAGGGATAAAAACCATAATCAGATAGCTAAGCTCTCCTAAATGCAATCAATGACGCAGAGAACAAATCAATATTGAAGGCTTCGTCATCATCATCAGCCTATTAATCTCCCGCAGGAATAGGGAGATTGGGCCAAGACCCACCACGCAGGCCCAAATTGGCGGATGCTAACAACTGCAGATGAAATGGGGACCAACGGCTTAACGTGCCTTCCGAAGCACGGCTTGAAGACTTAAGCCGCGCAACATGTAACAATGTCCAAATCGTCGCTTCCACAAAGTGAAAGAACTTTACGGAGCAGCAGCTAGGTGTACTGTGGCCCTTGACTGGCTGCACGAATTGCAGCTATAGGCAAAGTTACTTACAATAGGGTATTTGACAAGTTTTAGAAAACGATCTCACTTTATTGACTTATGTTTATGGAGTCCGTAAAGTGGATCTTCATCATTCTGTTGTGTATTTCAGTAAAAATAACCAAATCAAAAACGCCATTTTCCGCGAAAACGTTTCTCTGGACAATATGGCGTCTTACTAGTGTGTGGCGTCACACGACTGTTATCAAAACGTCAAACGATACAATGTAATGTCACTTTAACCGAAAGTTTACTTGCGTGTGACGTCATTTTAGGCTCCGCCAATCCCAAGCGTTTTGGGTCACGTGACAATAGATAACAAAACTATTATCTTTTTCGTAAGTTTTTAGTAAAATTATATTTTTTTTGTTACTATAGTCAAATCCCCTGCCAACATTCATTCTAAACACAGATAATACTGTCAAATGCCCTATTAAATAAAACTCCATACGCTCAAATAAATCTCACAACAAAATTTAAATCAACCTGTAAGAGCGAATGTCACACCAAGAAATGTAATCATTAGCAAAAATAACATTGAAACTATGAAAGAGATGTTTGGGCAAATATCAATAGCATTAAGAGAGTTTTAATATATCTATCTATCTATCAATCGCATTGCTCAAAATACACATATCTTCTCCGCTCCGCTTCAGTGGAATCAGTATTAGTGGAGATGAGAAGAATAACACCAAAATGTACAGCGCACTTATTGACTATTCCCACACATAAGTGCGAATTCGCAACGCATCGCAAATATCTGCGAGCTCGCACTAATGTTTCCGATCTGATTCGCATCGGCCATTTCTGAGATATTACGTCACACTTGTCATTATTATTATTATTTGTCACTATTGTCGAAGTTCCTCCCATTCGCACGAAGCGATTTGCTTCGGCCTTAATTATGCGAACGGCTAGGGAGTGGAGGAACTCCTTGCCAAGGTCTGTTTTCCCGGACCAATATAATCTGGACATCTGCAAGGCCTGAGTGAACAGGCATCTTCTAGGCAGTCGTGTACCAGCCTAGGCCTCATCATCGCTTTCCATCAGGTGAGATTGTGGTCAAACGCATTGCCTATTATGCAAAAAAATAACACTTGGTGACACTATTTTAGCGAGACCGAGACTACGCTTATGCAATCATTATTGTAGACATGGCTGATTATAAACTCAAAATCCCTTCAAATGATGATATGCTCATTCTTATATAAATATATATATATATCTTCTTCTGTTGTCAAACCATAGTATTTTCGAGTGAAATAGTTCCCATCAGCGTTCATAATCGTAATATAGGTAATCGGATGAACCCAAAATCTTCATTTTCTTCTATATCTATTTAACAATTACAGCAGCGCAATAATTTTTTTGCGTAGTTGCTTAGTGACATGGGTCACTTTTGTTAAAACACGTCCAATACGGCTACCGTTGAAGGTATGGTACCGTAACCAAAGCTTTGCCGCACGAATTCGCATCGCAGCAATTAGCATCCCATTTTTGTGTGAGAGCCCTGAAGCTGGGCAGAGCGGAGCGTTGTCATGCTGAGCAGAGCTGTTGAATTGGTTTATTCAATTGTTTCATTGTCTGCAAAAAAAATGCAATCACAGCTCCGCTTCGCTCAGCTCATCTACAATCTGTTTTACTCCGCTCATCTACACTTCCCACAACTCCGCTCGGCTCTGCGCAGCTCATATTCGCACAGCTTCAATGGAAACACTTGCCTATTAACACGGCTCTGCTCTGCTCAATTTCGCACAGGTTCGCTTTTGTGGATACACACCCTAAATCCTGGCAATATTAACAATCATGGATACAAAACAAAGCAGTTCATCAATCATCACAAATTTTGTTGAGCTATCGTGTATTACCTTCTCATAAACACCAATTGAAATGATTTTTAACATTGATGTACAGCCAGATGCTTTAATCAAAATCAAAAATCATTTATTCAGTCTAGGCTGCCACAAGCACTTGTGGAGGTCAAGAAGCTATCGGTTCGCAAAACAACGGCGCGGCGGGAGACCTTGTACTGAGAAGAACCGGCAAGAAACTCAGCAATGGCTGTTTTTTGTCTCCCTGTATTGTTATTTAAAGAGTCCTCAAGTTGAAAAATTACTTCAGAGATACTTCTGAAGTCACCTTTCACTACATCATTTGGGATCCACTGCATTGAAATGTGATTTGAACATTCGCGTTGTTATAAGGTAGAAATCTTCAGACAAACATGGCGTTAATACTTCAAGTTCTCGAATTTATTGACATTTCTGAGTATTAACCTCCTTTCTTAGCGTAGGTATCATTTTGTTGTCGCACAAAGTACAAAGAATATTTTATATAATAAAAGGAAAAGTTAAAATTTAATTGTGATAATTTTGATAAGGGGAATTGCATTTGATTACATTTTTTATCGTACGCTTCTCGGATCCGTTAGGTTAGTGCGTAAACTGAGCAGTTGCCTGTATTGATATAATAATATAAACAGTACCCTTAGCACGAACCAAAATCGAATTCTTATCGTTTGCGAGTCCGAAATGTCATTGTCAAATGTGTACTGATTTTTAGTTCCCGTTACGTCCAAAGTGGCGCTGCTGTTCAAGTTTCCATACAAAATTGTACATTGTCATTTCGCTTTGCAAACTATTCGAATTCGATAATGGTTCGTGCTAGGGGTACAGCTGTCTGTATTGACATAATATAAACAGTATTTAATACGCTGTTACAGCAACGAACGTATTCGCCAAAAAAATTGCTCTGCTCGTATGATGTCTATTAGCTATCCGATATTCAACCTTAGGTGGAATCCAAATTTAAGAACTTGTCTGTACAAAAATAGACTGACTGTATGCTACCAGAATTAATACATTAAAAAAAAACTTAAATAAAAGTGACATCGGTTACCGATTAACATTTCAGTCTTGCAGCTGCAACAGTTCAATGACCCTGGCCTCCACGAGGTTTACTAGGCGCGTACAATCATTGGCACAATCCTACTATCCTTACTAATATTATAAATTCGGAAATGACTTTATTGGTTACGTTTACACGCCTAAACCGCTAAGCAGATTATCATAAATGTTTGCATACAGATAGATGGGACCTCGGATACACTTATAGGCTACATTTTACACGAAAATCTTACAGAGGTTGGAGCGTGAGAGAAGGGTAACATATGAATAAAAATTTCTATCACGCCATCCCGATTTGTTTAAAAAATTGCGGATTTATTGTTCATAATTTAGTTATCAAAGTATGCATATTTGTTCTTTTTAACTCTTATAAATTAGTGGTGAATTCGGGAATGTTATATACCTAACGGCTACAGGAATGCTCACTTGCTATAATCGAAATCCTTAAATGAAAGAAAACTCGGTTAGCAATATCCATTTCAACAGTGTCACTGACCTGTCTTGCAGCTGCAGCAGGTCAATGACCCTGGCCTCCACGAGGTTGACGAGGCGCGTCATGCACAGCCTGTTGGCCAGCTCCAGCAGTTCGACGCATCTGATCGGATCCACTTTGGGTATCTTGTCCGAGTAAATGTAGCAAAGGAGAATGTGGAACGCGTACATTTTCACGCCCGGGAATGATATCTGTGCGAGAGATACAGTTTCATAGCTTATTAGTACATAAAAATAGTTATTAAATGAAACACGCTTAGACGGGTACAAAATGCGTCTTTTTATAACCGTTTAAGCGTATATTGTTTTAAACTTTCATGGTCACTAACATTATAGCTATTAACGGGATTGTTACCATGTACCTTGTTTTTGATGAGTCTCCGATATTTCGACACTGTTACAAGCGCCATGATCACGGAGTAACTGAAGTAATTGCGGGTAGATGTTATTGGCAGACATATCGGTCTACCCTCTGACGTCGTCTTTTACTGCGCTTGATACCTCCACCATTGGTCACATTCTCACTATTCACTCGCAACTGTTCCCGACAGACAATACTCACAGTATCAGATCGCGGAACGACATTTTTTTTTTGGATTTTGCGGATTTTGCACATACGAACCACTGGATTCCAGACACTTGACAATTTAAACCCATCCTCACGATTGAAATTTTTGTGTTTGGTTATTTCAATCGCTTCCCTGACCAATCTTGGTATGTAGTGGCGTTCTGTCGAGATGATTTGTGGATTATGGAGCTCAATCCAGTGATTAGGACCCGAATCGATTAAATGTTCCGCGATAGCTGATTTTTGCGTATCATTGTTTCTGACTGCTTTTATGTGTTCTTTCATTCGGCACGCTATTGTCGGAGACATAAAAACAAGGTACATGGTAACTATCCCATTAATAGCTATAACGTTTAAGCGTATTTCATTTATACAGCTATAATTCATCAGAGAGTTATGTTGCAAATAACAAAATAATCATTTTATAAGCGATTACTGAACAAGTGTTAAATAATTATCAAAATAATATTTATAACAAAACAGTTTTGTAAATTCGACATAAATGTTATGATATAACAACAAAACATTTGTAAATATTACACAACTGTATTTTGTTATAACAAAACAGCAATAAATAAACATACATATGTGGTAACATTGTAGTAGTCTATTTTTACATTACTGTTTTGTTGTCAGACGGTGCACTTTGGTAACAAGTAACACACAAATAAGTTTAAAACTAAATTTTTTTTGAGCTATAGCTAACTAAACTATTTAAAAAAAACGAGTTTGGGTACTAGTAACTATAGTAATGTAGTCACAATTTTTATGTAACAGGTAACATTTGTTTTGTTATAAGTAACTCAAAACTTTATTCAGTGTTGTACAATGCGCTGCGCTTTGTTTGTGAGAATCGCATACATAAGACATCACATCGCTTAGACTAGTAAGAAAATATTTATCACTTACCACTCTCGACGTGCTCTCTCGGAAGTGTCCTTGGAACATGGCCTTCATGGGGTCGCATCGGGCCATCAGTACGGCGCGATGTGCCAGGTGTATCCCATCGTCGAGGTCAAAGGTCACGTCGGCGAATAGATTCCTTTCCACATACATGTCTCTGAGTCTCTGGGGTATCGGCTACGAGAATACAATGAAGAACAGCTGTTTGTTATGCTATTTACACGCTTATATGTTTAAATTGAGGAGCTCGATGGCGCGAGTGGCTAGCGCGTTCGACTGCGATCATTGAAGTTAAGCAACTTTCGCAGTGGTCGGTCATTTGATGGGTGACCAAAAATTTACTATCTCGAGTTCCTCCGTGCTTCGCAAGGCACGTTAAGCTGTTTGTCCCGGCTGAATCTGCAGTCGTTAGCACCCGCCAATCCGCACTGGGCCCGCGTGGTGGGTCATGGCCCAATCACCCTATTCCATCCATAGGGAAGGCCTGTGCCCCAGCAGTGGGGACATTACTAAGCTGATGATGACGATGTTTAAATTTGAAACTTTAAAACTTGTGAAAACCTATTTGACGTCTCTTTTGTCTAAATAACAAAGTATCAATCAATCCAAGCATTGACAGATTTTAAGAGGCAGGGCGTACAATTTTGCTCCCCGAATTGGACACCCAACTGGGGCGAAAGATTATTATATATTCTCTGAGTTCAAATAACAAATATGAAACATTTCGAGCATTATCATTTATAGTTATTGTAAGCTGCGTCCCCAGGGCTTCCCTTCAGGATAAGCCCTACAGTACCTTCCATCGTACAGATGAGCACAGAGAAATAACACTACTTTTTGGTGGTGTCGCGTTTCTATCGTAGAATAAGGTTCGAGGGGGGCCATTCGCCTAACGGAAATGCTTTGGAAAACGCTAACGCTTTCGATTTTATTTTGTTATTTCTGACCGCCGAAGGTTTTCAAATACCTCACGCTCATTTTCTTTAATATTGTTATTACTAATGCAAAAGAAAAAAAAGAGCGCGAGGCATTTGAAACCTCAGGCGGCTAGATATAACATATATAATATACGTTAGCGTTTTCCAAAGCATTTCCGTTAGGCGAATGGCCCCCAGGGCGGTCGAACTGATGACACTTTTAAGTCTCCGTAATTCGGCTGTATACTTCACCCAGACTGTAGAACCGCAAGTTTACAGTTCGGTTTTAAAAAAGCACCGAACCACTGCTATTAAAGGGCAAACACAAACAAAACTTTCTCACCAATGCAACTCCGAACTTCTGATCTACTGAAAAATCTCATCAGTTTGGTCCAACGGACTAACAACCTTATTAATGAATACAAGGCCGAAAAAAGCTATGAAGCCTTGACTCACCGAATGGAACTGCAGCGAGTACCCCTTCTCTTGCAATAGATGCTGGTCCATCACAAACTGGCTGAGCTTCGTCAGCTCGTGGAAGCCGAGCAGCTCCGCTGCTTGACGGATCTCCTATTTCATCATTATGTGCCATTCAATCATTCCATTCTTATTTTAGCAAACTCAGTATGTGTACGAGAAGAGACCAGGGAACTATTCTTGAATCGCTCATTTGAAATGAGAGTTTTCTGGAATGACGAGCGCCAGGTGGCAACACTGAGACAAAAGGTCCACTCATCCGTCAAATCCTATGTTGTTCGATTAATTCGCACCAAAAACTTCAGACAGAAGACCTTGTGTCACAGTTTCGCTAACTGGTGGCGTCATGTCATTGAATCTTTATAAGCAACTAAACTCTTACTCGACTTCTATGTCGCATAACGTGATGACGTTGTATTTCGAACGAAAATTGGTAGAAAACGAATTCATGACAGGAGATGAGCGTTCCAAAAATAGTGCAAATATAAACGACTGATACGCTTACGCCCGCTGGTCAATCCCATAATCCCACTTATGTTTCTTGAAACATAGTGGGATTATAGAACTTTAAACACTGTTCGATTGCGCTTCTAATGAACAAATGATAGTTTTTGCATGTTCCTATTTTCGGTGATATAGAATCTACTTCAAATATTGTCTCATCCCTTTATCATTCCCTGTGTGTTTCTCTTATAACGTTCTGTTCCCTCTCAGTATAAACCGCAGTAAATGAAACAGACACCTTTGACGTTTCGACATATACATTTCTGCGAAATATAAACGCAAGCGTACGCTCGTCGATGAGTTTAGCCTAAATTAGGACATGTTATTTTTAAGTCGGTAAAGGCGTCGATTCTGGCATGACTTGAAAAATAATTTAACGTCTCTCCTTTTCATTCTGTATAGAGAATGACAAGGAAACACTGTTGTCAAATTTAAATTTAGGTTAAGAGAATTATACCAGAATCGACACCAATAATATGAAAGCTTGTCAATAATATGAAAGACCATTAATTGTAAACTTTGATAAATACATATTACGTTTAGCTGTAAAGTTTAGTTCATTTTAACAGCCTAATTCAAAAACAATATTTTTATTACGGAATAATTTCCAATACAAAAATCAAAAAAGTACACTTCGTTTTCTCCTAGATTGTGCTTAACGAATATTTTTACCAGAAAATTTATTTTACCTGTCAATAAAATGAAAAAGCGACTAAACAATGTAATATAAAATATTATTCAAAGATTTAGTATCTGTTGAATTATAATACCTTAAATGTAAGGATATATTATAAAACACTTGCCTGTTGAAGCTTACCTTCTTCTCATTATTAGAAAGCATAATATTTACGAATAGGACGATAAAGAATCAACCTTAATGGCGTTCAAAGTGTGTCTAAAACAGAACCTTATGACAATAATATCATTGGGTACAATTTGTCTTGGCACAATAAAATATTATTGTTAAAACAAAAATCTTGTTTTAGAAAATCAAGAAATATACAATAAACTAACAAAGTGCATTTCATAAAAAAGCATGAGTGAGTATAATGAACAATTTAAAAAATAATAATGAAAAACTACTTTGTACTAAAAAAATAAATAAAAACATATTACAAATATAATACTTTTTTATAAATATAACAAATATAATTATTAGCGTGTGCGAAGATATAAATGAAAGAATAATGATAAAAAATTAATAATTATGGTCATGTTTATGCGATCTTTATTATAATAGTAAAATTTACCAGTAGAAATCCAATAGCAGCGGACTGCAGACAATATTATACAATTACTTTTAACTAGAAAATTATTAATTTGTTATTATTATTTTTAATTTTAAAAATAATTACATACAACCTACATAAAAGGCGAAGTATTTTACCAAAACATAATATAAGAAGTAAAGAGTTTACCAACAATTATAATTATAATATTAAATAAGCTTCTAACAGAAAAATTTGAAGAAGGAAAGGTTTACATGACAGGACAGGACCTCAAAGATTTGTGTACAAACGAAGCTAAAGCGAAAATACATTAAGAAATTTCTAACTATTATAAAAATAAATTGAAAGCCCTTACTTTAGCACTAAACAATATATTTATAGTATAATAGAGCAGCTAACGCTTTCAACAATATTATTTTAAAAATATAGAAAAGGATAGATGGCCGGTAAAAATAGAAAAAAGCTTTTAATATAAAAATGAGAAAATCCTAAAATTATTATTAAATATAAGTAAAAAAATGTTAAATCTAGGTCAAAAATTTATCCCTTATCGCGATTGAAAAGCAAATTACTTCAGTATTCAATTATAAACGATTTACTTTAACTAGTATCTTTACTCATCAAAGAACAGCGAAAAGATCAGAATATTAAACCACTATATTGAAATTTTAAATATAAATCAATACAGAAATAAAACCAACCTGCTGTTTGAGATTGGTTGTGTCCAATTGGCCGGTGTAAATGAAATTGATGATTTCTTGCATCACAGTTTGGGAGATCAACTTGCTCATTGTCACTATGGTTTGAGTCTGAGAGGTCGCGTGTTGGATCTTATCGCACTGCAACAAATCGTATCTATGAAATTACAATTGAGAAAAATGGTGAACGCCCAGTTTTACGTCCATTAAAATACATATTGTGTTGAATAAATTATTTCAAATATAAGGTAAGATTTAATAATAACAATAATAATAAATATTTTCAACACTCAAACAATTAGCCTAGCCCCAAAGTAAGCACTGTAAGGCTTGTGTTATGGGATACTAGGGTAACGGATAGAATACATATACTGTACATATATTAGCATATTTATATATAAATACATATTAAACATCCATGACTGGAGTACAAATGCTCGTATTCATCACACAAACATCTGCCCCCACCGGGATTCGAACCTGGGACCTCTCGAGTCGGCGACACCATGAAACTCGGCGTCCAAACCACTCGGCCATGGAGGTCGTCAAATTTAGCAAACTCGCAAAAATAAAATCGCATCATTTAGTCCACTTAAGAAATTAAAATACATAATGGTGTCGACACCGGCAGGATTCTCTGAATTTAAAACTAAATTAAACATCAGTCTCTCCTTTTCATTCTGAATAGAGAATGACAGGGATACACTGTGGTCAAATTTATGTTTAGGTTTAGTGAATCATGCCAAATGTAATATTATAATAAAACATAAAATGCTATGTACCTCTTTTGCCTAATAAAAATTAATACTCTATTATTACAACCTAACAACATATTATTAGTAAAAATATGAACTATATATATCTTTATATATATAATTCTTCTGTGAGTGTGTATGTCACTGAACTTCTCTTAAACGACTGGACCGATTTTGATGAAATTTTTTGTGTGTGTTCAGGGGGTTCTGAGAATGGTTTAGATTCACAATTTTGTCCGCTGGACAATGTTTTTATAATTAATTTTTATTTATTAGTAGTTGTTGATTTTGGAATGTTTTACATTGGATCCGACAGACGGCGCTACCATACTAGACAGGACAACGTCTGTCGGGTCCGCTAGTATATATATATATATAGAGTACTTGGGAATATAGTTGAAAAAATATTTTACATTCAAGACGAAAATTGCTGGCGCTTGTATTCCATACTCCATGGTTTGTGTAATCTCCTTCTTTTCATGCCACCACTTCACATGACTATTCGTTTTTGCTATTTGTAAACTTGACAAATGAATGGGTATTGGACATCGTGAACGATAGGAGAACTTTACTCGACACAATGGAGAACAGAATGGGAAGAAGGTTCGGCTACATATGCTAATTATTTTATAACCAGGTAGACAAATGACTTTACCCCACCTGACCAGACGTGAAGATAGTTGGTACAGCAGTTATAAACTGCCACACCAACCATCCTCAACTTGGCGGCCTGCAGAAATGCTTCTTCACACCTCTCTTAAAGGAGTCCAGATTGTAGGAAGGGATACGTGAGCGGGCAAAGAACTCTACTTGCGAATAGTATGAAAAGAAAATTTTTAGTACGACAAGGACCACCTGCTGTCAAAATGACAAATTTGCTAATTATGCGAATACCATGTGAAGTGTTGGCATAAAGATGTTAAATTTGACTTTTGTATTGTCCTTGATAAAGTTGGTGGCCGGGTATATGACCTCCCTGTAAAACGGCTTATTGAACAAAATGTGTGTTATATCAAAAATAGATTCATACATTTAAACAAAGGCTGTTAACATTCACAACTTAACAGAAGGATATGATACTAAGCACTTCCATTTTAAGACAGACTTATACCATGAAACTAAACTAGTTTACTTTGACATATCTGGTGGGAGTTGATGCCGGGGTGGTAGACCTCCCTGTACAGATCTGGCGGCTTCTTGTAGCTATCACTCAATGGCAAGGATGAGATGAAGACCTAAGCTTTATCTGGTTCCAAACAAAGATATGTTTAATGAAACTAAAATAGTTTACCTTGACGACTCTGATGGAGTTGATGGCGGGGTGGTTGACCTTCCTGTACAGATCTGGCCGCTTCATTCAGCTGTTACTCAATGGTAAGGATGATACGAAGACCTAAGTTTTATCTGGTTCCAAACAAAGATATGTTTAATGAAACTAAGGTAGTTTACCTTGACGACTCTGATGGAGTTGATGGCGGGGTGGTTGACCTTCCTGTACAGATCTGGCCGCTTCATTCAGCTGTTACTCAATGGTAAGGATGATACGAAGACCTAAGTTTTATCTGGTTCCAAACAAAGATATATTTAATGAAACTAAGGTAGTTTACCTTGACGACTCTGATGGAGTTGATGGCGGGGTGGTTGACCTTCCTGTACAGATCTGGCCGCTTCATTCAGCTGTTACTCAATGGTAAGGATGATACGAAGACCTAAGTTTTATCTGGTTCCAAACAAAGATATGTTTAATGAAACTAAGGTAGTTTACCTTGACGACTCTGATGGAGTTGATGGCGGGGTGGTTGACCTTCCTGTACAGATCTGGCCGCTTCATTCAGCTGTTACTCAATGGTAAGGATGATACGAAGACCTAAGTTTTATCTGGTTCCAAACAAAGATATGTTTAATGAAACTAAGGTAGTTTACCTTGACGACTCTGATGGAGTTGATGGCGGGGTGGTTGATCTTCCTGTACAGATCTGGCGGCTTCTTGTAGCTATCACTCAATGGCAAGGATGAGATGAAGACCTAAGCTTTATCTGGTTCCAAACAAAGATATGTTTAATGAAACTAAGGTAGTTTACCTTGACGACTCTGATAGAGTTGATGGCGGGGTGGTTGACCTTCCTGTACAGATCTGGCCGCTTCATTCAGCTGTTACTCAATGGTAAGGATGATACGAAGACCTAAGTTTTATCTGGTTCCAAACAAAGATATGTTTAATGAAACTAAGGTAGTTTACCTTGACGACTCTGATGGAGTTGATGGCGGGGTGGTTGACCTTCCTGTACAGATCTGGCCGCTTCATTCAGTTGTTACTCAATGGTAAGGATGAGACGAAGACCTAAGTTTTATCTGGTTCCAAACAAAGATTTATGTAATGAAACTATAAGTTTACCTTGACGACTCTGATGGAGTTGATGGCATGGTGGTTGACCTCGCTGTACAGATCTGGCCGCTTCATTCAGCTGTTACTCAAAGGTAAGGATGAGACGAAGACCTAACTTTTATCTGGTGCTAAACAAAGACTTATATAATGAAACTAAGGTAGTTTACCTTGACGACTCTGATGGAGTTGATGGCAGGGTGGTTGACCTCCCTGTACAGATCTGGCGGCTTCTTGCAGCTGTCACTCAATGGCAAAATCTGACATGAGGATCGGCGCTTTATCTGGTCCCAAACCCTGGCAAACAACAGGAAGGTCACATTATGTATCTGGATCGTGGAAAATGACGATCAGTTGTATCTTGCTACCCCTTTGGGAGATAATGTCTTTAATCAGCTTGAGTAGAGAATGGACTGAACAATAAAGAGCACGAAATTGACCAAGTGCTAGAAAGAGAGTAAGCGGTCGTACGGCGAATTACATAGGTATTGCAACTATATTAAATACCCTAGATACAACATCACGAACAAAATCGTGGCCGAAACCTGTAAAAAAGGTACATCTGGCGATCCACGGAGCTTCGTAAGATGATCGGGTAGTCCAAAACAATATAAGGCATTATCTATACTTATAATAAATCTGTAGAGGGGTCAATTCTGTACATGAAATATATTTTCAAAATAACTATCAGGGGGTGATTAGTGATCAATACTGATGCCAAAAATGCAATCAGTAAAATTTTTGTCTGTCTGTCTGTCTGTGTGTATGTTCCTTATAGAAACAAAAACTACTCCACGGATTTTTACGAAACTTGGTACAATTATTCTTCATACTCCTGGGCAGGTTATAGTATACTTTTCATCACGCTACAATCAATAGGAGCAGAGTAATGAAGGGAAATGTTGGGAAAACGGGAGAAGTTACTCCATTTTTTAAGCTTCCGTCGCGTGCGCAGCCTTAATGGTTAAAGTTACATAGAAATTATGTATGACGAAAATATTCTACATAAAATTTTCTAAAAAATATCCTGCAACAGCATATGTCTATCTTTTATGGTTGACTTACAATAACACGTGTAACTCCTGATAGCTTAACAGTTCGGAGCATTCTGATTATATTTGTTTACTCTTACATTTATAATACTCTCACTCATCCCTAATTTAAAAAGTTAACATTATTACCTATTCAATAAAAAAAGAATTATAGAAATCGGTATAGAAACACCAAACTTATACATGAAATAAGCCATCGCGTCGTCGCACGTGAATACTGAATCATGCTATAAGGATTTATTTTTGTGTAACGGATAAGACAAAATGATCGACCAATGGGCGGTATCACAGTTTAATTTTGTGGTGATTTCCGACAAACAATACCACGGGGAACCCGAGCTGATGAGGTTAGGGCTTGCCTGGAAAGCTCTTAATTGTGGCGTGATATACAATCGGTGCATTTGACTATAAACATGCGAGTGAGAACTGGAGATAACCCGGATGATCGTGAATTTTCTGATATATTATTAAGGATTGGTGAAGGTACCTATCCACTGCTACACCAAGGAAAACTTATTCTGACGCCTGAATTATGTTGTATAGTGCAATCCCAACAACATCTCATATCGTCAGTTTACGGTGACGTAACAAATATATATAAAACTCAAAGGTGACTGGCTGCCATAGTGATCTATCAACGCACAGCCCAAACCACTGGACGGATCGGGCTGAAATTTGGCATGCAGGTAGATGTTATGACGTAGGCATCCGCTAAGAAAGGATTTTGATCAATTCCACCCCCAAGAGGATAAAATAGGGAATGAAAGTTTGTATGAAATTTTAAAGCGATCGGGCTGAGACTTTGCATGCAGGTATAAGAAGAAACATAGATGAATGTCAATGTGTATAATACAAGCCTGAGAACAAAAACTGTAGTCTACACTTCAGCTCTACACCGAAGCGAAGCGAGGGCGGGCCACTAGTTATAAATAAAATAAATATTTCCGACACTCACACCAATTAGCCTAGCCCCAAAGTAAGCACTATAAGGCTTGTGTTATGGGATGCTAGGGTAACGGATAGAATACATATACTGTACATATATAAGTATATTTATATAAATACATATTAAACATCCATGACTGGAGTACAAATGCACGTATTCATCACACAAACATCTGCCCCCACCGGGATTCGAACCCGGGACCTCTCGAGTCGGCGACAGCCATGAAACCCGGCGTACAAACCACTCGGCCACGGAGGTCGTCAAATTGAAACAATGAAAGTCACCTTAATGCATTCTTTATAAGATCTTAATTAAAACGCATACGCCAAAGAGTTATGACAGTTCGAAATGCAAGCTCGTAAAATTGTACGACTTATTGCTATATGCGGAAGAATATAGACCTTATTTCTTTGATTCTACGCGCAATTCTGAATGCGCTGTTCAATATAGCAGGTACGGACCGCGAGGAAAAGAGACTGCTATATTACCGACTATGCATTTGAATATCACAAATAAATTTCTATGAAATCAGCACATAGTAAGTATTAGAACTTAGAACGCTTCAAATCCGTTTAATTAACAAACGTTGATTAGATACCTGTCTAAAAAACGACACTACGTATTATTAGTATTTATTTCGAATTTTTTCACGGAGCTCTGAGGCATCTTGACTTTTCAACGGTCCACGCGTAACTGTGAACCAAGAAGTGCTTGAACCGTGTTCAAGCACTTCTTGAATGGGACACATTTTGACGCACGTGGCGTATTTAGGGTATTTAATATACTTAGTTGAGGTATTAACTTAAACTTTTCTGTCAGTATTTGTTTTACAGGTAGATTAAAATTTATCATTCGGTTTCCTTTTCTATGGAACAGCGTTACAAGATAATGGGCCAAAACGCATTCCACGTATCTAGTGCGTATAAGTGTCTTGCGAAGTCTGCCTGTGTCTTTATGAAGAAGTTTCATATATTACAATTTGCATTCGATAACCGGAAATAACGAAAATCACTTTACTAATATCGCATTTCACAACTCACCTCATTTGCTTAGCCTGATCTTGCCGAATGAGGTATTCAGTGTCTTCGTTAAAATCACCCGTAGTCGCTTCACCCATGCTGCTCACCTGTATAATGAAAATAAAATGAAAAATCTTAAATACTGATCAATCTTAATCAACTTGTTTATTAGGCGCAATCGTCAGTACGTGAAATCTGATGTCGATCCCATTAACTCAATATCATCTATACAACTTTCAAGAAAAAGTCTTTATTACCTTACTATCAACTTTCAAAAGTTTTCATTCTGGACAACTTAGGAGTTAGTTTATTATTTTCAAGATTCTGCAGATAGACCAGCTCAGTGGCTCAGTCCGTCGTCAACTGACAGTGTAAGTATTAGAAATATTTTTTTGCTAGAAAAATTTACTCTCTTCCTAGCGTTTCAAGAACTAATTTACCAATATAGTAATTTATGTTATTCACGGGATTGTGCCCATGTACCTTGCTTTTAGCGAGTTTCTTATAATATAATATACAATGCTACTTTCGCTAGTACAAAGTAACGTCTTATAGTACAGGTAAAGGAAAAATTGCGAAAACCGCAAATTTTTAATTACATCATTTAATAAAAAAATATTTTGAAAATTCAGGTGTGTACGGAACCCTCGGTGCGCGAGTTTGACTCGCACTTGGCCGATTTTTTTTGTTAGTGTAGTGAGTGACCCCCTCCAAAATTTCAGGCTGCGACCGCGCCTGGCTAGAGCACCTGGCCAGTTCTGCCGATTCGTTTATAGATATTTGTTTTAGGGACTTTCGGGCCAAATGATCCATACCAGCCCCATCGTAACCTGACCATACAATTTTCTTAAAATTACTTAATTATTACATAAAATTTTTGCTACCATATTACAAAGCACACCAGCCTCCTCCGATAGGGGGTTGGCTAGGATGCACTGCAATATGCCAGTCTCAAACCTATTAATTTTAAGGATGGATAATGCATGCCTCCTTCCTTTCCGCTTCATTTATGACGCATTCCACTAAAATGTGTTTGCTTTTTCACATGTTTCACAATTGGGGGAATTGTTTTTTTAGAAGAAATAAGAATTTATTTAGTGGAATATTAGTTCTGCCGATAAACTGGCACAGTCTGTGGTCAATGGGCGGTGGAAGGCTAACAAATCCATTTTTGCTAGAAAAATCAACTCTATTCTTAACATTTAAAGAACTAATTTACCATCCTGCTTTCGCTGGAGCACTTGCCTGTTCCTCCTATAGACTAACACAGTCTGTCGCCAAGAGGCGAGGGAAGCTTATATTGTACCTATTAAAAAAACGAAAAACATACTTTGCTCCCAACGTATGAGCTAGTTTACTATGCTGATTGGGCTGCTTCTGGCTAGTTCTGTAAACCTATATACGCTGATTGCCAAAGTGTAGTTTTTGTCAGATTTTTTATTAGATATATGCGCTCTGTTATTGCTGTCTAACTACCTCTTTCTATGCTGTTTCGCTCAACTCCTGGCTAGTTCTGCAAATAGGTAACAGGCGGTGAAATGCTTAGTGTATTTGAGACAAGAAAAACATACTTTGTTCCAACGCTGTACGAGCTAATTTACTATGCCGCCTTTGCTAGACCTCCTAACCTGTTTTATAATCTTATAAACGCTATTTCTTTTTATATAGTTTGTTGTCAGAAAGACGCGAGAATGAAGGTATACTGCCTGTAAGAAATACTTTTTCTAAAAAATACACTTTATTAACATACTATAAGGACTAAAATACCATGCTGCTCTCATTGGAGCTCCTTGCCAGTTCTGCCTATAGACTGGCACAGTCCGTCGTCAACATGAGGTGAATAGTTGAGCAATCTTTTTGCTATAAAATACACCTTATTAATTATACTATTAGGACTTATTTACCATGCTGCTTTCGCTAAAGCTCCTGGCCAATTCTGCAGATAGACTAGCACAGTCCGTCGTCATCACACGGTGAAAAGTTGAGCAATCATTTTGCTATAAAATACACCTTATTTATGTAATAAGTCTTTAAGGACTAATTTACCATGCTGCTTTCGCTGGATGTCCTGGCTAGTTCTACCGATAGACTGGCACAGTCCGACGGTGAAAAGTTGGCCAATCTTTTTGCCATAAAATACACATTATTAATTATACTATAAGGACTAATTTACCATGCTGCTCTCGCTGGAGCTCCTTGCCAGTTCTGCAGAAAGACTGGCACAATCTGTCGTCAACAGGCGGTGGAAAGCTTCGCAGGCAGCCGCTAGCATAAACCTATGCACCGGGAATCCCTTGGCGCCGCATATTATCACCATATCCGAGAAATACTGGTGACAAAATTAATTCTTAAGTAACAAAGACCTTATTACCTAACTTAATCTCTTTCGCTGTTCCTTTGTTAAAGCTAAATATATGTGTCAATGCAGGGCCGGTTTTAGTACCGACCAACGCTCTGGAGCTCTATTTTTGAATCACTCGTCTTGCGTCGAACGTTCGATTTCTACTAAATTTTATTCGACATAATTAATTCCGTATTTTTGAATCGCTCGAGTGCAACGAATGGGTGAGACCACTCGCTGCATGGCGAATGGTGGAGGCGAATGATAGAATAATTGTCAAATCTTTTGTGCTATTAGACGACGATAATCTATCATTGTCATGCTTTATATGAAACGATAACGAGAATTTTTTGTTCGGTTTTCATTGTGGTAATAACCGGTTTTTATTTTTTCTGCGTAAAATGAGTAAAATTTCATATTGCGTATTAAACAGGTAACACCAGTGACGAATGATTCAAAAATACGGGAAATCAGTATCATGCGACTTGAAAATCGAAGGTGACTTATGTCGCATTCGACGATACTATGTCAGACGAGTGATTCAAAAATAGAGCTCCTGGGCGAGATTTCTGCAACGCCCCCTAACTGTAATTCAAACCCATACGAAAAAAGCCAAAGGATATAATGAAAATAACTTCTAATAAAATTTTACTTTTCTAGCCTTTCTACAGGCGAAATCCTTTTATAAACTTATCAAAGTTGACGTTTTCTGCAATTTTATTTTTATTGACAAATTTGCCAAGTTTGTCAATTTGGATTGAGATAAATCCATGAACGATTTTCAGAACGAATACCTTAGTGTAAAAAATAAATACTGAGTTTCTCTATGGTAAGGTCGGGAAAATCATTTAAGATGAATAAAAGCATTAAGTATTTTCAGATATTGCGATTTATAGATTTTTTTTTTCCTCTCATGATCTGCAATCAGTCGAAGACTATAATCAAATTTGTTGTGTGAATTTGATGTCTTTTCCTAAGTGTATGTCCCATTGAAGATATCTACTCCTGTTACATTAACTAAGTCTAGTCGGTTTCTAGTATTACACGGCGTTTCAACCGTGTCTTTCTTTTTGCTTTAATTAGTTGGCAAGCTAGGTCGTTTGGGTGATTAATAAGCCTCCTCTTGTATGACTGTGTACATTGTTGGATCTCTTCCCTTATGGTTCTTATTTGCAGATTATCATGTAGCTCGTTATTAGTGATAAACCATGGGGCATCTGACATGGTTCTTAAGACAATGTTTTGGAATCGTTGCAATATGTTGATATTCGAGTCACTAGCACTTCCCCACAGCTGAATGCCATACGTCCAACACGGCTTCAGAATGCTTTTATAAATTTGCAATTTGTTGTCGATAGACAGTTTAGTATTGCGTCCTATCAACCAGTACAGGTTTCTGTATTTGAGGTTGAGCTCGTCTCTTTTTGTTTTTATATGGGTTTTCCATGTAAGTCGCCGATCCAAGTGCATGCCAAGGTACCTTACGGAATCATTATGATTAAGTATATTTCTGCCAAGGTGAACTGGTGGGCAGTTATCCCGTCTCAGTGTGAAGGTAATATGTACAGATTTATCAGCAGTAGCTTTTATCCGCCATTTGTTTAGCCAGGTATTTACTTCATCTAGTCCCTTCTGAAGCATTGCCGAAGCTAAGACTGGGCTGTCATTCTTTGCCAAAATGGCTGTATCGTCAGCATAGGTCGCCATTGTAGTTCCTTGCACTTCCGGTAGATCCGATGTATAAATCGTGTAGATTATGGGGCCAAGAATTGATCCTTGGGGCACTCCTGCTTTTATCTCATAGAAAAGCGATGTGAAATTATCCTCTTTTACCTGAAAGAGCCGATTCGACAGGTATGACACCATGAGAAGGTAGTAGCTGTGTGAGATATTTGCTTTGATTTTGAAGAGCAATCCATCATGCCAGACTCTGTCGGAAGCTTGTTGTATGTCTAGGAATGCAGATGAGCAATATTCTTTATCTTCTAGAGTATTTCGTATCACACTGTACACTCTGTGAACCTGTTCGACAGTCGAATGAAGGTCCCTGAATCCAAACTGATGGTCCGAAATTGTTTTATTTTGTGCAAGCATTGGCACAAGTCTTGAGTATAGGACCTTCTCGAACAACTTCGATAAAACTGGTAATAGACTTATCGGACGATAAGAAGTAATTTCATGCGCTGGTTTTCCCAATTTCCGAATCATTATTATTTGTGATATCTTCCATATACTCGGGAAATGTTGTACTCGCAAGATTGAATAATGTTGCCAATAAGATTTATAGATAAGTGATCTATTTGAACTGATGCAAATTATGAATCAGTAAATAAATATTAAATGACTGAGTACTCAGTAAAATTGTAGTATACTGAAACAACCAGTCAGTTTAATTGGAAAAGGGCGCACGGTCGGCGCCCCTTTATATCCGGCGCCCTTGGCGGTCACCTTAGCGCGCGCCCCCCTAACGCCGCTAATGTGTCAATGTGACATAACATGTCCCTTTAGCTTCTATGATATTAAAGGTACGGCGGGATTCAAGTGGAATTAGACTCCGATACGTAAATTTGATAAGATCGATCAGGGGGCCATTCGCCTAACGGAAATGCTTTGGAAAACTTACTTACGATTTCATTTTGTTATTTCTAGCCGCCTGAGGGTTTCAAATACCTCGCGCTCTTTTTTTCTATTGCATTGGTAATAACAATATTAAAGAAAATGAGCGTGAGGTATTTGAAAACCTTCGGCGATCAGAAATAACAAAATTAAATCGAAAACGTTCGCATTTTCCAAAGCATTTCCGTTAGGCGAATGGCCCCCAGGACATATTGTAACTATTACGACATAGAACAAAAGCATTCATCTTTATCAACCTGTAAGTGTCCTTACTGCTGGGGCAGAGGCTTTCTAGATTGAAAATGGAAAATGAGCCACCATAAAACTGACTACTGCAGATGCAGACGGGACCAACGGCTTAAAATATTGATCACCCATTGAATTACCGGACATTGAGAAAGTTGCTTAACCTCAGCGATCGCACTTCGAATGAGCTTACTACCTACGTACTCGATCAAGTTACAAAAAGCATTAGTTATATAAATACTGTACCTGCTGACGAAGAAGTGTAGTCATGTTTTCCAAGTAGACACTGCTGACTATCGACACTTCCGGTTCCATGGGGCGGGGAGGCCTAAATGGAGCCTAAAACAAAATACATAAAGATTAAATAAAACAATTTTCGATGATTTTTTTATTTACTTTGTAGACGACCTTCTTTCGAAAGTAGCTCGACAAAGTATATAAAAAAACCTTATTCTGACGATGCATTCCTGCAAAGGCTGCGAAACGTCAATAAATAAATCAATAAAATCAGTGCATTTAACCCGTTGAAAATTGTTTTATTAAATGAGTGATGTGCGTAAGTCTAAGAGACAAATATACAAAAAAAATCTTGAATCGATCCTAGAAAATATTTCCATTTAATACGACTTTTAAGAATTTAAAATCGATCTGAAATGTCTTAGTAACATAGTTTCAACTGTCCACAAGTTTTTGCAAAAGTTTAAACGTCCAGCTCGAAGGACCATGTACCACGAAAGCATATGATCTCTTGATAAACTCTATTATCAGTTCTACATCAATTTCGAGTGTATTTAGACTTCACGCCATGCTTTTAAATCTCGGACAACAGAGATATGCTATTCGTGTTCTCTATAAAGTTATACATAATATGTCCTTAGTCTCAGCAAAGTGCTCCAAATTGAGCTTGAATAAGAAATAAATTTTGCCATATAAGTACAGCACTTTTGTTTTGCCTATATCATCTTTAGACTATTAACAGCCCCACTGCTGGTATAGGCCTTCCCTATGGATGGAATAAGGAGATTGGGCCGTGCGTGATGGACGGGCCATTGCAGACTAAATGGTGCTAGCGACTGCAGATGCAGCTGCCACCAACGACTTAGCGAACTTTCTGAAGCATGGACAAGCTCGAGGACCAATTGAAATATTTGGTCCCCCAACCTGTGATGAAACCATTGCAAATAAATTTTCTTAACTTTCACTATTGTAGACTGAACGCGCAGTAATCTGTGCCATTAAGAGGGGAGGCGCGTAATGTTTTTTTCCATACACACATTCTCGAGTGATTCCACCTTAATTTTTATCACTACAGAAATTATCTTCATACATAAAATATAATTTTACTCATTCTGTACTTCTATGTCTTCATTTTTTCAATAAACATTGCTATTTCAAAACAACTAGAAGCTCTCAAAATGCCCAAAAATTTTTTTTTTATCACCACTAAAGACGTCTAGTGTGGCGATTAAATAGTCAATTACAAAAAAGCAAAACATAGAGACCTGGTATAACTATTTATTATTCTCTGTGTAAAAATTCTTGTACATATATCTAAATTTCGAGCAGGAGATCGTCGAGAGCCAAACCTCGAATTACGCAACTTTTATACGCAATTTTTAACGTTAGCTACTGTGGTCCTCAATCGCACAGTATTTGCCAATGCGCGACAACAATAGTGTTTTCAAATGCCTATTTCTCAAATGTCTCTCAAATCGCAACCCCTTTGTCTACATATTATCAGGGCCGGATCTACCATATGGCTTTTTGGGCTTCAGCCCAGGGCCCCGTGGATTCAAGGGGCCCCCAGCTAAGTCAAGACAAAGCCAAAAATAGATGACAATGCGAAAGAATCCATACTTTTATTAAAGTAAACAGATCAGAAATTCAGACAGGCAAATATCGCTGAATTTAAATAAGAAATAGCAGATATAATATTTTTAAAATAGATGTCTAAAGCTGAACTAGTGATTCACCAAAGAAAGAAAATTAAAATTATTTTCTTTAAAGCAGTAGATTCAATGATTAGAAGTACATTCAATGTAGAAAAAATACATTGTTGAATGTAACCACATTTATATTACCCCTAGAATGTGAGGAGCAAATTAAAGAATTTGCCATGTCTGCACTTTGCAGAAAGGTTGCTTTGTAATTTGTCAATATATTAACAGTAGTATAATACTAAGGCATAATATAATATAAATTAAATATTTTACTGTCACATTTTTTTCTATACTTTGAGTAATTAGGTGGGCCCCTAAATAGTATTAGCCCAGGGCCCCCTTAACTCATGGTCCGGCTCTGCATATTATGTCCTATTTATTTACGGTCTGTACAGTTTCGGTTTATAGATGCACTGATTTATTTATTTATTGACGTTTCGCATCCTTTCTAGGATGCGTCGTCTGAATTATTTATTTATTTATTTTTAAACTTTATTGACCAACATATTTAACATTGGTGCAAAAGGCGGACTTAATGCTAAAAGCATTCTCTTCCAGTCAACCTTTGGGAAAAATGAAAAACACGAACGGTAGTATAAAGCTAAATACGAATATATATACAAATTAACATACGAGGGGAGGTCAATAAGTTCGCGGAATGGAGGTGTTGGTGGGGGTAGGTTAACTTGTCCAAGTAGGCACTAGTTGAGCACCTCATTAAGAGTATTATATACCAGGTTTGAACCTAATCGGGTCATTGGACCGTACCTACGCCACCGCGCACGGATTCGCTAGTACCCTTTTAGTTTCCAAGCAAAATAGTGCTATTTTTGTCTTTGTGAGACTACCTGGCGCCATACTGTGCCAGCGGAGATCGCCGCGCACCCAGCGGAGATCGCCGCGCACCCAGCCGCAGGCCTGAGCGCGCCGTAAGGCGCTGCTCGGCCAGGATCGCGCAGGCGTAGACCCCAGTACGCAGCATGGCTGACCAGCCGTCCCCGCAGCCGTCTACCTCGCAGGGCCTCACTCCGATTTCGGACGAGGAGCTCGCCAGCGTTTTAGCTCGATCGATCGAGATAGCATCGCCCGGCGTCAAATATGCATTTGACGCCACGATGGTGTCTCGGCTCGTCGGGTCCGGCTTATTGTCGGACAGGCTGAACCGCTGGCTGAGCTCCTACGTCCGTTTGTTGGAGTTCGAGGCGGGCGAAACCCCTGCCCTCTGCCCAGCCGACGAGATGGCCATGGAGGCGTTGCAGGCACTGAGCGGATCCCCGCTTGTGCTTCCGCCTCCCAGCACGCCTCTCCCTCGCAAACGCCGCCTCTCCACCACGCCGCAACCAGAGAGCGAAAAGCGCCCTCGCACGGGACATCCGCGCGACCCGCGCATTCGCCGGTCGCTCAGCAGCGGTGACCGCCCTGTTCCCCAGCTGCCATCGCCTGTGCCTACCTCACCAAGCCAGGCACAGACCCCAGCACCACCCCGGGACCACCAGCCCAGGCGAGTAATCGCCTCAACCGCCACCCCAGACAAGCAGACTGCATTACCGACACAGCCGTCGGTAACTTACTCGGTGGTTGCGAAAAATTTCGCGACTACCCCCAACGCCGCCAAAAAATCCCAATCCGCCGCCGCATCTCACATCGACGCTCCGCCCGCGCAACCAGTCCCCGGCACCGCTCCCACGGCCCAACGGGTACAGAAATACCCGTCGCTAGTGGTTGAGCACCTGCCGGACTGGTCCGCGCATATGCGCCTTCTCCACGACGCCCTTGGCCGCGCACCGAATGCGCGCCCGTTCGGAACGGGCCTGCGCTTCATCCCAACGGACGACGAGGAAAACCGGCTCATCCGGGCCTACCTCTCCAAGCTGGAGGGCCAAACGGGTTTGAGCTGGTTCACTTACGCCAGCCCCGAGGACTGCAGCCTTAAGGTGGCCATACGAGGGCTGCCTTACAACACCGAACCGCATCACATTGTCGAGGCCCTATCCGCTAAGGGCTTCCAATGCGAATACGCCAAGCAGATCCGGGCGCGAGCAGGCCGCCCCGGATGCATTTACTACGCAGCCTTGAAGAGGACACCAGACACCATCCCGGCCATATACACAGTGAGCGAGCTCCTGTGCATGACCGGGATCACCGTCGAAGCATGGAGGGGCAAGAAGGGCCCTGCGCAGTGCCACCGCTGCCAGGGCTTTCGACACTCTTCCAAGGGTTGCCACCGCGCGCTTGCCTGCGTGCGCTGCGGAGACCCGCACGCCGCCGCAGACTGCCCCCGCAGACTGCCCCCGCCCGCTTTCGCAACTGGCAACGTGTGCGAATTGCAAGGGCCCGCATCCAGCGAACCACAGTGCGTGCCCCGCGAAACTCCGCGAGGCGCGCAACAAGAAAGCCTCCACCGTGGCCCGAACAGGCCGCACGCCCAACCAACCGCCACCGAAACCACAAGAGGTGAGTGAGCACGCGCCGGCCACCCTCATGGCACCGGCGAACGATCCACCCGCCCAAAAGTCATCGAAGCCCCGCCGCCGACGCAACAAGCGAAGCCGCCCCACCTCCAAACAGAAGGAAGAGGCGCCACCTGCTACCAACCCACCCGACGCAGCCACTACCCAACCCGACGCAGCCACCGCTACGGTAACAACACCAGCAGAGGCCCCACACATCGATTTCTCCAAAATCGACATCCAGGCGTTCAGCGCGGACCTCGCCAGCCGAATACTGGACGTTTTCAAAAATTTCGGGTAACCGAAATTTTTATCTACCCACCACCTAGAGGCGCTCCCCCCTCTCGCCTAAGTCCATCGCTCGCTCGCTGGTCGCTCACTGGGCCTCCCCAATGGGTCCCACCCGGTGGGCTGGACCGCGCCGAGGGCGATGGTGAAGTCGCAGGGAGGGAGGATGACCATAACGACCGTCCCGTTTGTAAACGGGATGCGCACCCGCCGCATCTAAAATGGCAAGACGCCAGATGACTCCCCGCACGCCGCGGCGCCTTCGGCGCCGGCGACGCGCGAAACGAAGAACGAGCGATAATCGGGTCATTAACCTTTGAGTTTTCGACCTGCAAACAACTGAATCGGGAAAAAGTCAGCCAGTATGGAGAAAATTTAACACCGCGCCGTTGTTAAGTTCCTTACCAAGCAAGGAAAATCCGCTCAGATTATTTTTCAAGAGGTGTTGGTGGTTTACGCGGACTCTGCCCATGGTAAAACCATGGTTTACAAGTGGCATGGTCTTTTCAAACCAGGAAGAGAGTCCATTGAAGATGACCCCCGCTCCGGTCGGCCAATTGAGGCCACCACACCGGAAATCGTCGAAAAAGCAGAAAAATTGGTATTGGAAGATGCCCGGTTGAAGAAGAAGCAGCTTGCAGCAATGATTGGAGTATGCGAAACAAGTATTTTGAATATTCTACATCATCATCTTGGGATGACTAAGGTCAGTGCAAGATGGGTTCCGAGTATGCTCACTCCGCTACAAAAACGCGAGCGTGTCGAGTGTTTTCGCCAGTTTTTGGAGCTCTGTGGAGAGAGAAAGAAAGAAGTTATGGCCCGAATCGTTACTGGTGATGAAACCTAGGTTCACCACTATGAACCTGAGTCAAAAAGCAAGAGTCGATGCAGTGGCATAAAAAAAGCACACCTCCTCCAAAGAAGTTCAAAGTGGCACAATCGGCTGGCAAGATGTCGCAACTGTCTTTTGGGATACAGAAGATATTTTACAAATCGATTATAAAGAACGTAGTGTGACTACAACGGGACAGTACTACGCTTCTTTACTAGAAAGATTGAAAGAAGCCATCAAGGAAAAAAGAAGAGGCAAGCTGTCAAAAGGTGTGCTCCTTCTGCACGACACGCACCCCTTTACACGTGCCATGTTGCGACGGCTGCCATTCACCGATGCCGCTTCGAACAATTGAACCACCCATCCTACAGTCCGGACATGGCACCCAGTGACTATTATTTATTTCCAAAAATGAAGAAAGAGCTGCGTGGAAAAAAGAATGACGACGATGAAGAAGTGAAGTCCGCGATTTCGACCAAAGACAAATCATTTTTTTTCGATGGTATAAACAAGTTATTTGAGAGATCTGAAAAATGTATTAGGGTTAAGGGAGAATATATTGAAAAGGAAAAATAGTTTGATGTTTAATTTCAACCTCCTTCCCTCTTATTCCGCGAACTTTTTGACCTCCCCTTCGTAGATATATATATAAATTTTATGATTATGATTTTATTTTGAAACTAGTGGCCCGCCCTCGCTTCGCTTCGGTGTAGAGCTGTAGTGTAAACTATAGTTTTTGTTCTCAGGCTTGTGCTATAAAGAATGACTTAATTTATATAATTATACGTGTTATTGTGAGTCAACCATAAAAGATAGACATATGCTGTTGCGGGATATTTTTTAGACAATTTTATGTAAAATATTTCCGTCATACATGATTTCTATGTAACTTTAACCATTAAGGCTGCACCCGCGACGGAAGCTTAAAAAATGGAGTAACTTCTCCCGTTTTCCCAACATTTCCCTTCACTATTCTGCTGCTATTGATTGTAGCGTGATGAAAAGTATACTATAACCTGCCCAGGAGTATGAAGAATAATTGTACCAAGTTTCGTTAAAATCCGTTGAGTAGTTTTTGTTTCTATAAGGAACATACACACAGACAGACAGACAGACAGACAGACAAAAATTTTACTGATTGCATTTTTGGCATCAGTATCGATCACTAATCACCCCCTGATAGTTATTTTAAAAATATATTTCATGTACAGAATTGACATCTCTACAGATTTATTATAAGTATAGATTATTTAGTCTGAATTATGAATAAAATTATAATTCAGACGACGCATCCTAAAAAGGATGCAAAACTTCAATAAATAAATAAGAGCATTTAACTGATGCAAATTGTTTTACAAATACCAACTTACCTGTAGTAAAGGCCTTTGCACTCTCTTCAGGTTGGTCATCCAGAATCTCTGCTGGCGGCGAGCGATCAAAGCTGCCCTTATAGCGTTCTCGAATACTTCGTTGACACCATAGTACGTGAAAACCGATGTCTCATAGTAGTATATGCCGAACTCGTGAGCTAAGGCACGGCCCTGGTCTGGCATTACTAGATCACTCTTACGTGGAGCACTGAAACAAGGAGATTATTTTCATAATAATAATAATATTCACGTACACAATAGGCAGCCTTATTGCTAAACAGCAATCTCTTCCAGGCAACCCACGAAATTGAAATAAATAAATAAGAGGAACAAGAAGGGATTTCATGTTTTTTTTTCTATGTCAAAAGTGTATCGTAAGTGTAAACCAGCGTATGGCTCATGGTAAGCAGCTTATAAAAGTCGAAAGTCAAAAGTCAAAATAGCTTTAATAAAATTGGATGCACAATACAACTCTTTTGAATCATTCATATTTTTTCCCCTACCACCAGCTAAAAAAAATGTCCTAACATCTTTTTTAACTTTTTTTTACTAGGTGTACATAAAATTCTAAATTAAATATAACTTACCGAATAAAGGGGCTGCGGTCTTTGCAATAATTCAAATAAGTTTCATCTCTGTACATGTACCGCAGATCATTTTTGCAGCCAACAAGAAGTATTGGTGTATTTGGGCAAAATCGTCTGAAAATAATTCATTCATAATTATTCACATAACCTAGATTGAATATAAAGTGTCTACATTAATGAGAAAAATATATACTACACTGATTCATTATACCTTATTTCTGGATACCACATAGCACCACAGTTTCTCAATGATATTGGGTTGGTTATGGAGAAACAGAGTAGTACCACATCAGAACTAAAAAAAACACGTTTTATGTCAGCTTTCATTTAGTTCCATAAGAAAAAAGTTTACTTCATGCCACCTGCTTCAGGTATTAAATATAATTAATAAAATACAAGGTCACCCAAGATATAAACATATGTAATTCATAATGGGGCTTACCGTCCATATGCAAATCGCCTGTCCTTTTCATGATCACCAAATGTATCCCACAGGCGCAATGATACATTGACACCGTCTACAACTTCCCAAGATCTCTCTAACACCTGTTAAAATAACCAATAGATTTAAAACAACTTTCAAAGATGTATAAATATCATGAAAATATATGTGTGATTGAATAATAACTTATCAAAATGTAGCTATGAATTCATCAAAAAAACAGTGATTGAGAAGTAAATTAATATATATATATTTATAATGTACTTGTTTCTTCAACCTTATAAAAATTCAATGCTCGCACTTCACTTGGCTATTCTTGTTTGCTATTTGTAAACTTGACATCCGTCCTTTTGATTTCTTATACAACTGGGTGTCAATCTCCTAACCAAATTGCTACGGGTATCGCTATAGCTTACAATTTTATTTTGTTATTTCTGACTGCTGAAGGTTTTCAAATACTTAACACCCATTTTCTTTTAAATTGTTATGATATGGGATGCTAGGGTAATGGAAAGAATACACATACACTGATACACACAAGTATATTTATATAGAAATGCATATTAAACATCCATGATGAGTACAAATGCTTGTATTCATCACATAAATATCTGCCCTGCCATAATGCTATATACCTAATTGTAGTATTTTTTCTTTGTGTGTGAGCAATGACCTTCTATATATATGGACATATCACTTCAAACAACAACCTAGCCTAAACATGTACCACAATCCAAAAGACGCCGAAAGCACTGATCTCAAACAACTTTCCAAGATATCACTGTTAATTCAGTCTTGAAAACTATCTTCGTTTAAAATTAGTAATACATATCAGTCTAATTTACATATTATGTCAATATACGATGTAAACTTGAACAAAAATATCTGTAGAGTAGCAATGGTCTTTGTCATTTATTATATTCTTGAGTTTTTATAGTTATTAATCTAATACTTCAATGTGAAACAAGTGTGTAATTAATTTATGATATTAAATACTTAATGGTGTCGATTCTAGCATGATTCTCTAAACCTAAACTTAAATTTGACAGCAGTATATCCTTGTCATTCTCTATACAGAATGAAAGGGAGAGACTGATGTTAAATTTAGTTTTAAGTTTAGAGAATCACGCCAGAATTGGCACCAATATTAATCTACTATATAAAAATAAGTCGGGTTTTCCTTCCTGACGCTATAACTCCAGAACGCACGAACCGATTTCCACGGTTTTGCATTTGTTGGAAAGGTCTCGGGCTCCGTGAGGTTTATAGCAAAGAAAATTCAGGAAAAATTAAAAAAAAAAAATCGTTTTCTTTTAATCACAAAACGAAATGTTACATAAAACGAAGCTATCTGGTGGCGAAACGGAGTTCGCTGGGTTTGCTAGTATTTTATAAGAAAAACACATGTATATAGCCTACATTTGAACAAGTTATTATGGAATGACTTAAATTTTATGAAATTAATAAAGTTATTAGTAAATTAGTACAAAGCAGACATATCTCGCATGGCACCCATTTACAAGCATTAACAGTATAAAATGATACTCAACAAGATCGCAAAGATTTTAAAGAGATCCACTACTGCTTATACTAACAGTCAACATAATAACTTGTAATTAAAGTCATTTATTTGTAACTTATAATAAACCAATGCCTCTATTTTCGACAATCCTTTTGTCATTAAAATATTCATAGATTAGCCAACTGTTTTATGAATTGATTGAATATACCCCAGAAATTTTCGCAGACTTCTTATAATTTATTTAAAAAAATATTGAATATATACCAGAACGTTTTTCTTAAAATAAAAATATCTAAAATTTAGTTAACTACTGGTGTCGATTCTGGCAGGATTCTCTAAACCTAAAGTTAAATTTGACAACAGTGTATCCTTGTCATTCTCTATACAGAATATAATGGATGGATTGATGTTAAATTTATCTTTAAGTTTAGAGAATAATGCCAGAATCGACACCACTGTATGGTTTTTTATTTTGACTGTGTTCTAATCGCATCATTTTTCTTTTGTTTGCAGAAATTGCACTTTTCTTGCATCAATGGGAAGTTCATATATAAAGAATGTCATTGTGTGTGAGCAAGTGTTTATCTTTTGTTACTTTGTTTAACAGTATGAAATATGAATGGGATTTGGCAAAATTTTACACCACAAAACTTACATCTTTGTAAATCCTATATTGATCTATGGCCCAAACAGTTGGAACATGTGTTGTCATCAGTTGGGACAGTGAAACATGTTTGTTGCAAGCTCGAGCGCAGATCAGTCGAGTCTTGCCCACTGCTGTATCCCCCACCACTACACATTTGACTAGCTCCTGATGCGGCTGTTCGTTATCCATGATCTAAGAGGAAACGTAAAGATTATGTTCAGCAAAGCTTTGAAAGAAAAATAAAATCTCTACAAATATTCAAAGCTAAATTCTAAAATGATAGTTAAACAAACACAGCTTCATTTGGACATAAATTTTGGTCCAACTAAGTATTTAGGATTGCTTTTTGTTAAAAAAAATGGTTTAACATATTCTACCTCCTTGCAAATGCATTTAATATTAGCATTTTTATTTTTGTGTCAGTGCAGAATTATTGGATTCAAGATATTTATTATTATGATACTAAACTTATCTGCCAAACTGGCAAAGTTTATAATACAGAAACGTCATATGAGATTTAGTAAATTACAACTAGGGACACGATATCGAATAGAAAGTATCGATACTGTACTCATGAGTAGTATCGGAAAAAAAAGTATCGTACTCGTAAAAGTATTGATACAAAAGTATCGATACTTCAAAGTATCGAGTACATTTCATAGGACCTTATAAGCAATGTAGATACTCTTAAAAACGTGTAATGTTAATATAATCAACTGCAAAACTAAACGTGAATTACTCAAGTACGTAAGTCTCAGGACACACTAGATTGCTTCTGCTTCCAATTTTAACAACGCAATCGAATGTTTTAGAAGGTTTGCTATGATTCCACTAGATGGCGTTGCCATCAATATAAGGCGCTTATAATTTTTTTTAAAGGTATCGATACTTTTTTTAGTTTAGTTATTTAGTTGAAGTATCGAAAACCAAGTATCGAGTACAAAAGTATCGGTATCGAAAGGTAAAGTACTCGATATCACAAAGTATCGATACTTTTTTCGTGTCCCTAACTACAACAAAATAAAGTACACAAACAGTACTTCACGGTACAAGCCTTTGTCCTGATACAAACCAAATAAACAGTAGTGTCGGTTATTTACCAAATCATAATAAATACTTCTTTACCTTCTACAAATTTGGACTAATTTTACATTCCAATCAAATATTTTTAGTTTCGGCAAAAGGACAAAATAAGATTAGTTTGATACAAATTAGACAACAGACAGCTTCATTTTAGATTAGATTTCTTCAGTGATGGCTCCCTCAGGATTTGGCCAATATCTGGTGTTTGTGTCCAAAATTTCTTGTCTATGTTTGTTCGGTGAGGGATTGTTTATTGTCTAAAACTCTGCTTATGGTGTGGAAGGGCTTTGTGCAAGTACAAGGACCTAGGATTTGGGAAAAGAATAGGGAAAAACAGAAAGGAAAGGTTAAGGTATAATATGTTGAGCTGCCTGAAACAATAAGTAATAAAGCTGAGATATGAGTACCAGTGAAACTATATCTACAATTTAATGTTGTTAGAATCAATATACATACACAGAATATTCACAAAATCTGAATAAACTAAAGATAATATAGTTGAAAAATCTGTAGGAAGATGGACATGTGACGGAAGCAATGAATAGAGGGAATGGCTATTTTTGGAGCAATTAAAAAAGATATGATCTGGGGTACCCTCGTCGATACCACACTCGCACAAGGAACTGTCCCTCACCCTAATCTTGGCCAGGAAAACGGGAGTACATACGTGACCAAGTCTTAGTCTGCATAATGTGGAAACAACACTTTTTTTGGCATTTCGCATTTTGGTAAACCATGGAGAATGAGGGATATCTGGCTGAATATTCGCATAGAACTTGCCTTTTGATTTACTTGATTCCTTCCAAAATTTTGACCACTCTGTAAGCAACTGCTTATTAGCTAAAGAAGCTAGGTCATTAGGGTAAGTGCCACAGTGATTGAGAGATCCGCTAAGTGTAGCTTGTTTGGCAAAGGAATCAACAGTCTCATTTCCCACTATACCAGTATGCCCAGGGATCCATGCCAAAATAATTTGTAAACCTTGCCGATGACATTCAAATAAAATAGTTTTAATGGTCAGTATAAATTGAAATTTTGATTTAGAGCTGAACTGATTACTCATTATGGCTTGGAGACAACTTTTAGAGTCTGAAAAAATTATTACTTTATTAAGACTATGGGATTGAATAAATTTGAGGGCTTCTAAAATAGCGATAGCTTCACCAGTGAACACCGAAGAATATTGAGAACATTTGAAGTCAAGAATGATATTATATTTTGGAACCCACACTGCTGACCCGACGTGACTATCATCTGTTAGTTTTGAAGCATCCGTATAAATAGTAAGCCAATCAGGCCACTGAGACCCAAGTCTGCAATTCAAGATGTTTTGTGCTGCTGGAGAATTTTTGCCAATATCTATGTCCAAGATTATGTTAGGCTTATAAATTAAAGCTTGATATGGGGTTTCAAATAAAGGATTGAGCCTACATTGATAGACAGGGGATGGTAGTTGTAATAACTTTCTAAAACTAATTAACAGACATGGGAGATTTTTGTGGGACCAGTAGCTACTTGAAGGAATCAGTTGGTTTAACTGATGAAGTTTAGGAATTAGTGGATGAGATGAGCGTTCGAAAATTTTAAATATAAATTTGTCTGACATATACTGTCGCCGAAATTCTAAAGGAGGCTCGACGCATTCTACCTGCATTGCATTAATTGGAGATGACTTCATGGCACCTAAAATGATACGTAGACACTTAGATTGAATTTTGTCGAACAATTTTAGAGCTATTTTGCTACAGGGTTCGAGTAAGAAAGATCCATAATCCAAGAGGCTGCGGACAAGTGCATTATACATCATTTTTTGTGTACTTGGGTGGGCTCCCCACCATACACCCGAGAGTGCTCTAATTATATTTAAATTCCGTTCACATTTTTTAACAATGTAGTTAATATGGGGGACCCCAGTTAATCTACAGTCTAATACCATACCCAGAAATTTTACCTTGTCATGATTCGGGAACACCTGTCCCTCACAGGAGATATTAATATGAGGGATAGACCGAGCTCTAGAGAAAACCACAACACTGCTCTTAGGGATGGATAGTGATAAGCCATGGTCGGATAGCCAGTTATTCAGGTAGTAAATAGCTGAATTCAGTCGACTAGAGGCATCCAATATATTATCGACATCTATGTATAGGGCAAGGTCATCTGCATATTGTAGTACATTACAAAAGGAGGTCACCGTAAGGTCTAAGTCATGGGTGTAGATGCTATAGAGCAAGGGGCTAAGAACTGAGCCCTGTGGGAGACCTTTCCAAATCTTTCTGGGTGGGAGGTTTAAATTTTGAAAACTAACAGAGACTGAACGATCATTAAGAGTATTACAGATAAAATTAACAAACTTCTCAGGAATGTTCAGCTTAAGCATCTTCTGCCTAAGCACTGGGAGAAGGACGTTATCGTAGGCAGATGCAATATCAAGGAATACACCCACCACTGACCTTCGTTTAGACAAAGCAACACGGATATCTGTCACAAAGGAACCCAGACTATCCATGGTGCTCAGCCCTTTCCGAAAGCCGAACTGGGTTTCTGATAATTTATTATTGTTTTCCAAAAACCATTCCAGACGATTTTTAATGAGGCGCTCTACAACTTTAAACAAAGTATTAGAAAGTGCTATGGGTCGGTAGCTGGATGGATCATTACCTTGTTTGCCACTTTTAAGAATAGGGATGATAATTTGAGTCTTCCATTCCTCAGGGGGGGTGCCAGATTCAAATATTGCATTAACCATTTTTAAAAAGTGAAGTTTTGTCTCATTGCCGCTCTTAGTAATGAATGAGTAAGGTATTCCGTCAGCTCCAGGGGCGGAATCTTCAAGGCCTGAAAGGGCCAAGGAGATCTCCTCCCAGGAGAATGGAGCTTCCAATGGGTTAGATGAAAAAGAAGGAGAGCCAGGAAGAGTCCTAACCTCCTCCAAGGTAGGCGCAGAAAGGGGGGCAATTTTACGGCTAAAGGGTACAAGCCATGCATCAGGGTCAGAAGAAGAAAAATTTTCATAGGTATCAGAGTATGATCCACGAAATTTTCTAATATTTTTCCAAATAAGAGAAGGCGATGATCTCGGGGACAAAGAAGTACAAAATTTAGTCCATCCCTCCTTTTTCTTAAGCCTCAGCAGAGATACAGTCTCTGCTGCAACTTTTTTGTAGTGGAGATAATTTTCCACAGTCATAGCAGATGAATAAGCCTTCTCAGCTATCTTCCGATTTTTTATTGCAGCAGTGCAGTCTTTATCCCACCAAGGCGGAGAGCTGATATTCTTACAAGTTGGCGATTTCCTGATTGGGATACACTCATCAGCCACTGAGAGCATAGTATTCTTGAAAAGTGAATAGTGGTTGTCATTATTATCTGGAGCCTGAAGGGATGGGAGGAGTTTCATTTTGTCATCTAACCTGCTACTATACTTATTCCAGTCTGCTCGGGCCAAAATATGTTTTTGCCTGGGAGTGATATGGGGGGCTTCTTTACTTGGTGCAGGCAAGAAAACTAAAATGGGGTAGTGATCACTCCCATATGTGTTTGTAAGAATTTGCCAGTTGAGATTAGAAGCTAAGCTAGCCGAGCAAATAGATAGGTCAACTGCACTCTTTGGGTTCTGATTTGGAGCAACACGACGTGTTGGAGAGCCGTCATTTAAAATGCAGAGATTTAGGTCATCTAGTAAATCTAAGAATGTGGAAGAGAGGGAATCAGAAATGTGACAACCCCAAACTTCATTATGTATATTAAAGTCTCCCAGAATGATATATGGTTTCTCAATTGATTTGATAATAGAAAACACTTGTAGTAATATAGATAAATCAGGATTAGGGATATAAATGGATATAAAAGATATGTTCATTGCTCGAATTGCAATTATATTAAACTTTTCAGTATTATGAGAGGATAGATCAATAGGATGGAAAGAATAATTTCTTAATACAAATAAAGCAGAGCCACCTTTGCCATCATTTCTATCATCCCGGAGACATGCATAGCCCGGGATCCAGAATCTGGTTCCCGGCCTAAGCCAGGTCTCCTGAATGGCAAGAATAACTGGCTTATGATAGTTAATAATATAAATTATATCAGATTTTTTATATTTAATACTCCGGCAGTTCCATTGGAGTATTGGAGTGAATTTTATTACCTAAAAAGGAAAGCTCAGTCAGTTTTTGCTTGAGGTTGTTCGGTAATTCAATATCTTCAAATCGTTTAATAAAGTTAATAAGTGTAGAAAGCTGAAGAAATAACATTTCAATTAAATTGTCATTCGGTTCAGTAACTAAAGAGGTATTAGTAAGGGCACAACCATTTGGCTGTGTCGAGGTTGGAGTATGGGTGAGTGAATTCTGTGTTTGCCTGTCATAGCCATGACTAGAGGCTGGAGAAGGGGAATGACGGGGTACTGAAATAGTCTTTTTATATGAATATGCTATGGGAACAGTTGGTAACCTCGGGACAGAGCTGCTCAGGTGGATTTGAGAATTTGAAGGTAAACGACTTGAGTCAGCATATGACTTTCTAACAGGGGCAAATCTTGCTGAGGCTTCCATATAGGAAACATTCTCCTGGGACATAACCAACTTAATAGACCTTTGTCTAGCATGTTCAGGACAAGAGGAATGAGTAGCTAAATGGCTCCCTAAGCATAGTATGCACTTGGGGGGAGCCTGACTTAAGCAGGATTCACCCTCATGCATTTCTCCACAGACGAAGCAGCGGGGTTTGGAACGGCACAGAGACTTTATATGTCCGAATCTACAGCAATTATTACACTGGATTACCGGTAGCCTGTAAATTTCCACCGGTAATGAAGTGTAATAGCAATACACATGATCTGGCAACTTTTTGCCAATAAAAGTAACAACCACAGTCTGAGTAGGGATCCAGGTGGGAGCAGAGTTTGCAACAGTTACCTTTCGGTTTAATCTCCTCGCTCTAAAAACTTTCCCATGGCCATCAGGAACTCGTACATTTTGAACTAGTTCTTCCATAGACCACTCTACTGGAACATTCCTGATAATGCCCATTCTAGAAACATTAAAAGATGGGATGGACGCTAGGTAATTATTGTTAAGCAAAGCAGGATGGTCTATAAAAGAATTAGCATCCGATGCAGATTTAAATTGTACCGAGATGCGGTTTCTACCAACTTTTTTAACTCCATCTGCAACTACATTTTTTATGTTGTGTGTAAAAAGAAATTTACCAAAATGCATTGGGCGGAGGACAGTGCCTTGTGATGGTTCAGACTCTTTTTTAGATATATGTACAATAAAAGGTCCAATGTCATCAACATTATATTGAATTTTGTTTTCCGCATACTCTGGCAATATAAATGTTGTTTGAACAGACGCCGTAATTTGAGCCGAGGATGTTTTTTTTGCTGGTATATTATGGTTTGTGCTAGAAATGCTTTGCGATCGTTTTCTATTGATTGATGATGAATTATCATGACTTTGAATAGAAGGAAAGATATCTTGGGATTGCAAAGGAGGGTCAACGCCGCCTCCAGGATCTGGCGGGTCAGCGTCCATATTTGGCGCCAATTATAATTATGTAAAAAATATATATATTACTTACCAAATACCGAAATAAATATGTTATTACATACACACACAAATAAATAAATACAAAAAGTAGCTCAACACAGAACGAAAAACTAAATTAATCTAAATTGAACAAAGCACTTGTATCACGCACTCAACCTAAAAGCAGAGTCCCAGCTTCATTTTAGAATGTGTTCATTGTACTGTCAAAAATTTTTGGACGTCATAAATATTTTTTAATTTTAAGTTTGGCAAAATCAATGTCCGTTTTCATTCAGCCATAAAAATCATTAATTTTGTCTTATGGTTAAATTTTTTAAAATTACTGAATAAATACAAGTAACACACTTATTTGTAGTAAAAATCAATCTGAACGGAGAAGTGAGTACTTATTCATATCCTTTTTATTGACGAGTTTTTATAAAGATTGCCATTGGCATACCTATCAATAGAAATCAAGCCCAACTACTACGATTTGTATAATAAAGAAAACAGCTCTTTGAAACAGGGAATCTAGGTAAAATGGTTTAAATTTCTAATAACTAGAAATAAAGATTATCCATTGTTTAATACTTACGGTTCTTTTTGCTAATCAAACTGAATTCTATTCTTCAAAGACAGAAGCAAAAACTGTTGTTGATCACCTCTTCATTTTCGCAAAGATCACAGGCAAATTAGAAACTAACGTCAATGGTACATTAACCGCATATACTTAAGCTTATTGCTGAAAATAGTTAATCTTTACGCGATATTCTGAGCTACGGACTGAAGTTGATTTTGTAGCAATGCAGCGTTGTGCGCATGTTTTATGAATGAATAGGTACCTTGCGCAGATCCGCAGGCCGAGCAAACAGGGCAAGTTCATTTTAATTTTGTTATTGACAATTTTCTTGAACGTCAATGAACTTTGGACAGTCAACTTTCGAGTACAATATCGTTGTCTCAGTACGTTGTTGTGCGACTGGGTACCACGTAATTACCGTCCATAATGTACTAGGACAGCAATAGATAACTTCCTTTCGGCCTTTGTTTTGCACGACGACTCGGGATAATGTAGCTTGCTACTGACCATTGATCTCTTTGAACTTTAATAAACTGAGGGTCATTGACTTAGCTGAGTTAATTAAAATATTTATAGTCATTTACTGAGGCCATTAAACAGCCAATGACACACCACGACATCACGTACGGCGAAACAAAGGATAATCTTTATCGAACTTTTAATAACGCCTGTAGTTTTAGATCGGCAGAAGTTTTACACACATCGAAATCTGAATTAATAAGTGATTCCAATTCCAACTCCGTTAAGAGCACTATAAAACTGAAGTTTTATGTATTTTTTTCTTTCCTTCCAAGGCTGACGAGCGGACGGGCCACTTAATGTTGAGTGGGCCCCGTCGGCCATGGACACCAGCAATGCCAGTAACACAGCCGTGCCGCCTTTCGTGAAACACTATATAAGCCTCTCTTGGCGGTGCGATACTAAATTAATAGTGCTGTGGGTATTGACTGGAATAATTTCTCGTAGCGCTTATTATGTAAGAGCCTGTAGAATACGCATAGGCAACAAAAGTCCCTGCGCAGTTCTAAAGGCTCCTGCAGATTTCCCGCTAGCTTGGGATCATCGACAATCCGGATCGAGCGTCTTTGTATTGATTCCAGGGGCTCCAATTGATATTTGGGTGCTCCAGCCCAGCGATGTATTGTAAGCAGTACTCCATGTGGGCTGATGTGGGGCCTACTTTGCGGTTTAGACACTAGGTTCTGACTTCTCCAGTGGGACTTTCTCAAGAGAACCCTCCATTTCGGAGAAAAGCTTAGAACAGAATGTCACTGATATGCAGCATGAACAGCATCGGGTAGATCACCGAACCTTGTGGAACTCTAGCGTTTATAGCCACAATAATAGCCTATATCCATAATTCATACTTTTACACCCTCAATATAAGAACTCTCCTCCCCCAGGCTATCGGCTGACCGCCTTCACCCTCTTGAACGGTATTATTTACGAGTAATTTGAAACTAAGTGACTTGTAGTAGCATCACTATAGATCTATATAACTGTTTAACTTTGTAAATTATCTTCATTAATTTAACTCTTGAAAGTACGCTAACAACACATTTTTAGAAAATGATGTAGCATTTTTATTCATTTTCCATTCCATGAATTCGTGGTAACATTTACTATAGTTGCTCCTAGATTTCGCCGGCAACAGGTTCAGTTTCAGGCACAGTTTGACGCAGCTTCCAGAATCTGGTGGTGTACAATCACCACTATCCCCGCTTTCAGACATATTTTTAAACAAAAACTTATGTATTTTACAAACAAAACCAAACTTTGTTTAACACATTATCTCTTATCTATTAGACAAGTCCGTCCGTCCGTCTGTCTGTGGTGCTGTTTCAGCGGCCAAACCGTAAGAGATAGATAAAGAGAATATTTAAGTTATAAGTTAAGAATAGTCTGATAAGACTACAAACCGGATTTGAGTAACGTAGCACTTCCGGTTTTCGAGAAATCACGAATTTCAAACGAAACCACACAAAATCTCCGAAGTTCTCAATTAATTAAATACATTTTTTTTTAAATCAGGTTTTGGTGAACATTTGGTTCACTGGTTTGCTAGTTTTAATTAATCTGTAATTCAAATTTTTTAAATATTCTTCACAGACACGTTTTTTTATCATCATTGTCATTATCCTCTATGCATCCTCTCTAATAAAGATCGTTGATTTCTTGTTGATGTCATTTTGAATTTTATTTCTTTCAGTTCAAAAAGGAAAAGTAGTTTTTTAGTTATATTTATTTTCAGTCTGCTTCTGTGCAAAGGCCCCTTTTTGATTTAATCTAAGGTTAAGTCGGAATAATGGGCTGTTTTATAACTTCCCACGAAAACCTGGCAAAAGTAAAATTAAGGTGCCTTTAAACATAGCTATTAACGAACTAACGACATCTAATAAATAAAAAATGGCATACTTCGCTTTACTTTGGAAAGCTAGGACTATAGAAAAATACAGATTGAACTACGAATCGGAGAAAATCAATTCTATAATGATGTCCAAGAACCCTATGCCGAAGCAATCTTTGAGTCAGAGATGGCGACACTATCGCTACGACACCCAGAAAAGGATCTCCAGGAATTTTAGAAGATGGTATCCGGAGGGGTCCTCAATGTCCAATTTTCTCCTGTACCTGAGAACTGACCAAACATTTCCAAACTTTGTTTTGAAGAGCATATTGGGCTTTGTCGGTGGCATTATACTTACGTACCTTTGCTTTATGTTCTTTGTATTCCAACTCTCCATATCGCTGATGCACGCTACCATAATGAGTTCAGTCATCGGAGTACTGCTAACGTTAGGATTAGCTTTTAGCTATAGGATAAGGTGAGTTACTATTTTCCATACTCCTACTACTGTTACTCCTGAAATCAATGACCTAGTCTAACCTGTCTCCTAATTCCAAGAGCTCTCGTTCATATATTATCTGGTCTGCTATTATCCTCCTACCACGGATAATAGGCCACTTTACTTACAGCAGTAATACTAATATCATGGATGTGAAGATTCGATTCTGGAGGGTATGAGAGCGGCTGTTGAGTGACGTCGCTCCATATCAATTTTTATATAGTTATAGAACTTATTTACTTTCAGATGCCTAGTCTTCCTGCTGGTTCCCCAATTCTTTTCCCGTGTTGGGAGATACACGTTAACATGCTATGCTTTAGTCCTCATCCTGACTGGTCCGGCAACTAACACACTCAAAAACTCCGAAGTACTGTCAGAGTCATTGGCTTGCGGACAAGTAAGAGACAAATAATATGGCCGTTTAAAATTCGCAGGTTTGTTCTTTATCATGAAAATGCATTTAGCATACTCATGATAAGAAATATGAGCTGATTGACGGTTTGTAAAATTAGTCATTTTGATAACACACGTGTAAACCTAGTGACTATCTCTATCACACTTCTTAATTTTCACTGACAACTCGAAGTCAACTACGCCCGTCAAACACCTGATGTTTAATGGCACAGAGTACATTATTATATGTTCATCATCATCATCATCAACAGCCTATCATAGTCCACTGCTGGACATAGGCCTCTCCAAATGCACGCCACTCAGATTGATCTTGGGCTACTCGCAACCAGCTCCTGCCAGCCACCTTGCGCAAATCGTCACTCCATCGTGCCTGAGGACGTCCTACACTACGTTTGCCTAGACGCGGTCTCCACTCCAGAACTCGTCTACCCCAACGGTTATCGGTTCTTCGGCAAATATGGCCAGCCCACTGCCACTTCAACTTGCTAATCCGGTGGGCTATGTCGATAACTCTGGTTCTCTGTCGGATTACCTCATTTCTGATGCGATCTTTCAGAGAAACGCCGAGCATAGCCCTTTCCATAGCGCGTTGAGCGACTTTGAACCTGTGGATCAGCCGTGCCGTCAGTGTCCACGTCTCGGCTCCGTATGTCATCACAGGTAGGACGCACTGATTGAAGACTTTCGTCTTAGGCACTGTGGGATCGACGATGTCAGGACTTGACGTAGCTTCCCAAACGCTGCCCAACCTAGCTGAACTCTTCTATTCACCTCGTCCTCAAAGTTGTTTCTACCTAACTGCAATGTCTGCCCGAGGTATATATATTTTTGAACAACTTCGAGAACGGCACCGTGTATTGCAATCGGTTCCGGTAGAACATGTTCATTGAACATAACCTTGGTTTTATCCAAGTTCATCCGTAGGCCGATGCGTATAGAAGAGTCAGCCAGGTCATTCAGCATCTGTTGTAGGTCCTGCAGGGTTTCTGCCATGATGACGATGTCGTCTGCAAATCGCAAGTGAGAGATGCGTTCGCCATTTATGTTGATGCCATGTCGTTTCCAGTTCAGCGTCTTGAACATATCCTCCATTGCATTAGTGAACAATTTCGGGGAAATAACGTCCCCTTGTCTCACTCCACGATGCAACGGTATGGCACTTGTTTGCTGATTCTGTACTTGGACAGACATGGTGGCGGCTTCGTAGAGACATCTTATCACTTGGATGTATCGCCAGTCGACTTGGCAACGCTGCAGGGACTCCAGGACAGACCAGATTTCAATCGAGTCAAAGGCCTTCTCATAGTCCACAAATGCTAGGCACAGGGGCTGATTGTACTCCTCAGTCTTCTGTATAATCTGCCGCACTGTGTGGATGTGGTCTATGGTGCCGTATCCGCTCCGAAACCCAGCCTGTTCCGGTGGTTGGAAGTCATCAAATCTTCGCGCAAGACGGTTCGCGATCACTCTTGAGAACAGCTTATAGACGTGGCTTAGAAGGGATATGGGTCGATAGTTCTTAAGTAGGGTCTTGTCCCCCTTTTTAAAGAACAAGACGACCACACTCCTACTCCACGCCTCCGGAGTTCTCCCTTCGAACAGGACAGTGTTAAAAAGCTTTTGGAGCTCCCTCAGTACGGGTTTACCTCCAGCCTTCAAGAGTTCTGTTGTAACACCATCCTCTCCAGGGGCTTTTCCATTTTTAAGCTGTCTAAGAGCAATCTCGATTTCGCCAATACTGACTTCTGGCAGGTCTTCGGTGAAGTGGCGTGTTAATGTGGCTCTAGAATCCTCATTTCCGGGATCAGGTCGAGATGCATGTGATGCGTATAACTGGCTGTAGAAGTCTTCCACTTCCGAAAGGACTGCCGGCTTTGAAGCAACAACTTCCCCACTTGCTGTGGTCAACTTCGTCAGATGGCTTCTTCCAAGAGATTGTACGAACACTTTGGACCCTCGATTCTGCTCGATCGCTCTCTCGATCGAGAGAGTATTGGAGCATCGGAGGTCGTGTCGTACGTGCTTACTGATCTCTTGGTTTAGAGTCCGCTTTGCCGACGAAGTGACGGGTGGGTTTTCACGTCGTTCCTTCATTAGCCCTAAAGTCTCTTCCGAAAGTTTTGACTTCCTGCCCTTACGCTGCGTTGCACATAGTTTCGTACCCTCTTTCCTGAGAATCCGAACCACATTTTCGAGGTTTTGGTTTACGTCTGATGTGGTTTCCACGGCAGCAAATCGGTTCTCCAGATTTGACTGGAACGTTTCAGATCCTGTTATAGATTGGAGCAAAGTAGGTTGGAGCCTGGATTTCATTAAACGGACGCGCTCGGCCTTAAAGTTGATATTCAGAGAGCCCCGGACGAGTCGGTGATCACTACCGGTATTGAACCTGTTGATCACGGAGACGTCTCTGAATATGTACAGTCGCCATCAGATATATCTGAGCATACAAGATGACCAAATACATCTGAACAGTTAAAATGTCAATAAGTTCTATACACTACAAGTGACCATTAATATCTGATCATTCATTACTTCAATAATATCTGAGCAGATGCCTGTCAATAATATCTGAACATACAACTTTTCAAAAATATCTGAACAATTTTAATAGGACCTCTTAATTATTTATTTATAATAAGATGACGCTGGCAGTTAAACACTTTCCAGTTTTTATTCTTATCACCTCTGTCATGTGTCATGCACAAATAAATTCAAGCAGCTTGCTTACGTATTAGTTCATACCATAAATTAACTATAATTAATATGAGTTCGTACCGTATTGATGCGGAAATGAAACATAAAATAATACAACTAAAAAATGATGGTTTATCCGTAAAAGATATCGCCGATGAGCTAGGGATAGCCATAAGTATCACGGAGAAAAATGCTAAAAATCAATTGCCCACAAAACATGAAACTTTATTCACAAAGTATAAAATTGTATTTATTTCAGAGAAATACTGTATATTTATGGCTAGAAAGATGGCAGCAAGGAGAAACATTAAATAATCATGTTTCATTTGGTCGCCCGCGTATTACTACAAATAACCAAGACATAGCTATTATAGATAAAGCCAAAAATGACAGATTTATAAACACTACACAATTTTCAAGCACATTCGTAATATCCACTAGCACCATTAGAAGACGATTAAAAGAAGGAGGTTTAAAAAATAGAGTACCGGCAAAAAAACCAACTCTCACGCCAAGGCACAAAATGCAGCGGCTACAATTTGCAGCTAATTATTTAAATTTTAATTTTCAAAACGTTATTTTCATGGACGAAAAGGTTCTCTGCTCATCAGATAATGGGCGATTAAGTTTGTGGCGACCCGAAAACACATGTTACTTAGAACAAAATGTGCTGCCTAATCGCCGGAGTGGACGTATTTTAATTGGATTTTGGGGATGGATGTGCAAAGATGGTCCTGGTGAGCTTGTGGAAATAAGTGGACGAATGAATGCAATGAATTATAAGGAACTTCTGGAAGATACTTTTCTTCCTACAGCTCAAGTTTTTTATCCAGAACAACAAATGACATTCCTTCAAGACAACAGCTCAGTACATAATGCTCGTACAGTACAGACATGGATTAATGAACAGAGAGAACTAACTTTAATCAAACTACCACCAAAAAGTCCAGACCTCAATCCCATCGAAAACCTTTGGGGTAAAATGGTGCAAGAGTGGGATGGGAATCAATGTCGAACAACAGAAGCCTTAAGGCGACGTGCAAATGATGTTTGGGAATCGTTCAGAGGTCGAGGTTTTTGTGAGAAGGTAGTTGGTTCCATGAGGAAACGTTTACAAGACGTATTAAATGCAGAAGGAGGTTACACAAAATACTAATGTTTCATGAGAAGTATATAATTGGTCAGCCTTTAAATAATTTGGTCGGCACAAAAAGATTTTGTAAGCAATTTAAAAAATCAGGCAGCAATCCTTGTTCGGCAAATAATTATATAATGGTCAAAAATTTAATATGAGAGTATACAAGATGGCTCATTTAAATGGGTCAGTATGGGAAAGTTTGAACTATAATATATACGAAGATCTGTTCTTAGGAACTATGTCATCGATTTTAATAAAAATTAAAACTGCATTCATACATTTAAGAAAAACCCTGTGGTCAGCTGGGGAATCGAACCCGGTCGTTTTGAAAAAAAAACTAACACTATTTCCTATTTCTATTTATTAGTAAGATAAGTTACCTATACGTGTTAAATTTTGTATTAAAAAAACGGTGGTCACTTAGAACCTCTACTGAAATAATTTAAATTATGTGACAAAAATGCATTTTACGCATTTGAGACATCACGTTTAATAGAAACATTTACTGCTTCAGACCTACATAATCGATATTTAAATAGAAATAGTGTAAGTTTTTTTTTCAAAACGACCGGATTTGATTCCCGTGCTGATCACAGGGTTTTTCTTAAATGTATGAATGCAGTTTTTATTTTTATTAAAATCTTGTTCCCAAGAACAGATCTTCATATATATTATAGTTTCAGACTTTCCCATCCTGACCCATTTCAATAAGCCAACCTGTATAATGAGAGTGGAGGGTTACCCGGGGAGAGGAAACCGAAGAAAAAAAGATGGATAGATTGTGTGAATGAGGACATGGCCAGTAAGGGAGTGAGTGTTGATATTGCGAGTGATAGAGGAGAATGGAAGCGGAAGACATGTTGCGTCGACCACATATAGAATTGGGAAAAGGGCATGCAAATGATGATGGTCAAAAATGAAATCATAAAAAGGCAGCTTACAATAACATGGATCTGCAAGATTTCATAATTCGTGTCTGTACTGTAGATTGGTTAGCAGGAGAAAACATGTCTATAAGCAGTATATTTGAATAGTATGCATATTTAAAAACCAGTCAAGTGCGAATCGGACTCGCGCACGAAGGGTTCCGTACCATTATCTAAATAAATATTTTTATATTGAATTAAATGTAAATTGCGGTAATTGCT